AACCCATTGCGCCAGGTTCCGCAAGACTTACACCACCACGTGGCGGTCTCAGTTTGTTTTAGCTGTTTGTGTCCTGGCCGATGCGACTAAATCCTAAGGATGTTTCCACAGTGTTAAAGCACATGTAACCAGCATGGGATAGACTCGAACAAGCATAATTATCCGTACGTATATTAGAATATATGTGTATACATATACATATATATATATACATATAAAGTGGATGGAGCTAGGAATCCAGGCAGTACAGAATCTCACAAGGAATGCTGCTTGGAGCCAAGTGCTTCACTATAGGAGGATGTGATGACTATCCATGAAGCAGAAGGAGACGCTTCGTGGGATCCTTGAGATGTCCGCCACCAGGGGTAGAGCATTTTGACCCACAGCCATGTGTCAAAAACATGACTCCAATAGAACCTCTGCCACTTTTTATTACTCAAAACCATCAATCTGGGCAAGATGGCTGCTATACCAGAGCTACACAAAACGGATCATCATCATCATCATCATCACCATCATCATCACAATCACCATCACCATCATCACCATCATCATCATCAGCATCATCATCATCATCACCATCACCATCACCATCTCCATCACCACCATCACCACCATCATCATTATCATCATCATCATCATCACCATCTCCATCTCCATCTCCATCACCACCACCACCACCACCATCACCACCACCACCACCACCATCATCATCATCATCATCACCATCATCATCATCATCACCATCACCATCATCGGCATCACCATCATCATCATCATCATCTCCATCACCATCACCATCATCATCATCATCATCACCATCATCATCATCATCACCATCACCATCATCATCATCACCATCTCCATCTCCATTTCCATCACCATCATGATCAGCATCATCATCATCATCATCATCACCATCACCATCATCACCACCATCACCATCACCATCATCATCATCATCATCACCATCACCATCTCCATCACCATCACCATCATCATCATCACGATCATGATCATCATCATCATCACCACCATCACCATCATCATCATCATCACCATCATGATGCAGCATCGTCAGCATTGTCATTCATCACCACCAAGTCACCATCATCATCATCATCCACCCCCCATCACCATCGCATCACCATTCATTCATCAATCATCATCACCCCATCTCCATCACCATTCAACCATTCACATCTGTTATCATCACCAACCAGGCATCATTCATGAATTCATCATTATTCTGATCATCATGATTCATCATGAATCATCATGATCATTCATGATCACATATCATTCCATCATCATCATGATCATCATGATCATCATGATCATCATGATCATCATGATCATCATGATCATCATGATCATCATGATCATCATCATCATCATCATCATCATCATCATCATCATCATAACCACCATGGCGGTGATGGCGTTGAAGGATGACGGGTTGCTGCACGGAGGTTTTGCTATGCATATGCTCGATTTGTGGAAGCCGCCGAGAATCTGGAACAGGTCCGGAAGATGGAACGTTATCGTAGGAGGATGTTGAAATAGGGGATGTCTCAGAACCCATGTTGTACCGCTGTAGCATATGTTTAAGGGATGAAAGTCCAAAACTACTAGCTATTCAGTAGCAAACAAATATGTTTGTCATTTTTGTTGCTTGCTTAAATCCATCCAGTGAAAGATTGGTTCCGTGGATTTTGCTTGAAATCTAGCTTGGGGTGCCCATCATTTGCGATGAAACGAAGGAAGATGGCTATTTTCCGAGACGTTTTTGCATGATCTTCCATTTTTTAAATTTGACATGGTTTGGTCTGAAGATAGGGCGGGTCCTCCCAATTTGATTTTTCATGGCTTCTCGAGGGTTCACCGCCAGGCCATCAGTGTCCGCCAGCAGCTGCTGGGCGACGACCATGAGGAATTCCTGCGGTCCATTGAAAGCTATGCCTGGGAACCCGTCGAGGGATGGTGTCAAGACCTATGGGGATTCCATCTATGGGAGATGAACATCATCTATAACTCTGACAAACCCACCTTTTTCGGAGGATTCTCGAAGTTTCAATGAAACATCATGAAACATCATGAAACCAAGTCTAGAGATATGGCTGAGGGTCAAAACCCATGGAATCCCCAAGGTGAAGCGAAAAATAGGTGGTAGTTATGGATGTTCATCCCTTAAACAATGGGATACACTTGGGGGGATGAATGCTGTAACACAACTACCAACTATTTCGGTGTGAACCCAAGGGAATTCCGTGCTTTTTGACCCACACCCATTTACCCTACTGTAGATATTTTCAGTTTGATCCTGATATTCGTGAAGTGTTTAGGTGGAAGCTCATCTTCCAGTCTACGGCAGGGTCTATGTTAGTTTGGAGGACGGTAGCCACTGAAAAGATCGCACAGAAGAACTGGGCTAAGTTATATCATATCTGGCAAGCATTTTACGAATATCATCTGATAGCATTTGCATATGATGGGATAATAATGGGTAATGGGTAAGGGCTCATTCGGGTTACAAACTTGTTTTGCGAATGGCAGATGACTTTAGGATTTGAAACAATCTATTTTGACGCTTTATAATTTCAACCCACACCTTTGCCTTCAAACTTCCAATGATTGAACCAAATCGGATGGTTGAAGAGTAAGAACAACACATTTGGGCTTTCGGCCGGTTCAACCACAGACTTCACCCCACTCGTTGTGACTCTCCCAAAACTTTTGGTACGAAAAATAAGCCGACTAAGCCATTCCTTAATGCAGCGACAGCGACAGGGAGGGACAGCATTTTGCTTATGATGTTGAGCTCTTGAGCTCTTGAGCCACCGGACTTTGCAATTGCATCAATTGCACAACGGCGCGCTGGCATTCTGAATCTCAAGCCGCAATTGTTTCTTCGTTTTTTGTCTAAAAGTTGGAAGCACCATGGGAAGCAATTGCGCCTTTGCCTGGGCCTTACATCAAATCGCAGAGACACCCAGACATACGGTGAAGTGAGCTAGTCATCACCAACACCTCGAGTTGAGATGACTCAAATCGCTTTCTCTTGGTGACTTGTAGGTAATTTATGGATATTTATGGTAATATGACATGTGTAAGTCTAATTTCGGAGTGAGATCAGAGGTTCACATGGTTCACGCCGAGTTTTCTGAGGATCTTCACCCAAAGATGCGGATCTCGCGGCCATTTGTTGCCGACGCCTACGCCGCGCTGCGGCTGAAGGCGTTGTGTCTGGAGCCCCCGCGACTGTCCCAGAGGTCGTTGGGCCGAGATCACGCGGTCAGTGAACATCTCAGCACAAGTCACAAGGACGGCGGTGTCAACGTCCTGTTTCCCACTCGTTGATCAATGGAGGGACTATGAGGGACTGGTACCTGAAAATATGTTTTCACAAGCACAGTCTCAATGGTACCAGAGCCTACCAAACCCATGGCTTTTTTGCAAAAGAACTTGGAATTGTAAAGCACGGTACCCCAAGATCCGGTGGCTTAAAACCTCGCTTTCCTCATTTATACAATCGCCAAAATTAATAGATGAACTGCTCTCAGATGCGACAAGGAGCCTACTCATGCGATTGAGTGCAGCGCCAGTCCGATCCAGAAGGCGCAACCTGCGTGGGTCCCCAATCGGAGCCCTTGACTTGGAGCAGCTCGGCCAGAATTGCGAAAGGATTCTACAACTGCCAAGTTCAAGACCCAGGGAACCATTCTTGATGGATCAAATGGAGCAAAACCAACTACTTATGTTATGTACATTTAGGCATTTGCATAATTATATATGTACCATAATGGGGGGATGAACATCTATCACTACCAAAACTACGAGCTATTTTGGCTTGAACAGACGTGTACCATCGGTAGGACCCTTGGAGTAACGGGTACGCTGAAATAACAGTTTTACAGAACAGGACGATGAACCGCGGCTTTTTTTGGTACCCAATTTTCAGACAAACCAACATTGTACTGGAACATGTGCACATGTTACGTAGCTACATCACTATCCCAATTACATGTGCACGGTGAAGGGCTTGTCACGCTTGCCGGCTTGACGTTGGTGGACAGCCAAGGACAAGGGTGAGCTTGGTAATTCTGCCAAGGACACATGGTGCATAGCATTAGTCACCTCTGACAAAAAGTTTGAGTGGCTGATCATGGGCTGAACAACAGATTTCAGCTTTCGGAGAAACCTACCAGCGAGATCCAGCGAGCACATTGAAACATCCAATAATCAGATGCTTGGTTTGATCGAGAGCTGACTTCTGGGAACACGGCCCAGTGGTCCAAGATGCATGATTTTGAACTGCTTCGGGGAATCAATGCGAGTGTCGGCTGGTGGGTTCAAGATGACCCGCCCTCGACTCTGCCCCCGCCCCTGTTTTCAATTAGTGCACCGGCAACATAGGCATTCCTGCCAAATTTTCAGCCTGTTGGCCCGTTGGCTAACCCTTAGCTGTAGGGTGTGTCAGCCTTGTGATTTCAGGCATGTTTTTTCTCTGATGAATGGTGAAAACTCAACTGCTCGATGGTACACCCCTCTTTTGCTTTAGCTGCTAGCTCCGCGACAAGACTGCAGAGTCAAATCGGCTTTGCGGTTCTAAAACGGCGACGGCCGTCAGGGCTAAGGAAAAGTAAATGTGCTGCTCAGGAGATTGAAGAACTTCTATGGGAAAAACATGGAGAAGCTACACCATGAGAACCCTGGAAAGATATCGAAAGATGGGGTTTGTCAAAAAAAGGCTACACCCAAAATCCAGTGGTTTATATATATATATATACATATATATATAATATAATATATATATATAGAATATTTTATAATGTTTATCTTGGTCTATAGTATGTTGGTATATTGGTTCAGAAAATCCTTCATCGCCTGACGCAAGGTGGTCTCTTGCAACAATTGGAGTGTGCAATGCATGAGCAAAGGCGAGAGTTTCTCGGGTGGCGAGGAACTCGGGGCAATGGGCTGGCCATGGCAATGGTTGGATGTTGGTTGGATAAGTTGGATTGCATGTGGCTCTTTAAGAAAATAATATATAATATGTGGGTTATTAACTGAATGGCATAATATGTGGGTTATTACAACTATAGTTAGTTATAATATGTGTGTTTTGGAGTCTTCATAACTAAAGATTTGAGATGACACACCCAGAAGGGTAGGACATTTTTGAGCCTCCGGGGTTAGCGGTTAGCTGTGAAGCGCAAAGAGCCGCTGTTTCAATGTTTAGAAGATTTTCTTAGTAGGCTTCTAAATCCATAGCCACGGCCACGTCAGTTTGGAAGTCCGATTTTTGGATTTAGGTTCAGACTTTGATTCAGATTATTCTCAGACTTTTTCATAGAGAGAGAATACAGAATGAAGAAGTTCATAGAATTGGATGATGGGAAAATTTACAGGAAAGCCCTATATTTGATGGTAAAAACCATGGTTTCCTGTAGATTTTCCCTTAAACCAATCCAATGAGAAGTCCCTCTTTGATCCAGATCAGAATGCAGTGACGAATGGTCAGGGAACTTCACCGCAGCGTTGGAGTTGCTGAAGAAAGCGGAGGTGCTATGACCTACTGGACCCTACTGGACCTTGCTGGATGTGAGAGGTGTTATTTTTCTTAAAGGGGATGTCTTTATGTTTCAAACTGCTAGTTTGCATCTCTGGTGTGATCTCCAAGTCAATTTTATTGGGGACACAAAAAGCTACCAACCACCTGCAATTCCTAAGATCAGGCCCGTGCAAGATTCATCTCTTCAAGTGGGAAACCAACAATCCTCGGGGCTGCTTTTTGGACATATGTCATATGACCTATGACTGCTATGACTCCTAGGTCCCAAACTTGATGTTCTTTGAAGAGACATTTTCTTAATATTTTTTTCCATTACGCATGGGATGGTCGGTCATTTTCGTGCGAGGCAATGACAGAAGCGGACAACGTTCCGAACTACCAAAGGCGAGTAGTTTTGCGAGCAGTCACCTTCAACAACCTTTGTTGCTGCCTGACTGCAATTAACAGAGAACAACACCCCCAAATCCTGTAGTTTAAAATGTTGATTTTCCCAGTAGCACACGGCAATTTTAGGGTATACAGGTATAGCGCGATGCCATCCCCATTTCTGAACTAACCTGTCTTGTGGAGGACATGTGGGCCTTACCACAGCTGTTTTCAATATTGATCAAGTCGAATCGGTGTAGTTGGAGGTGGGGTCAGCCCCCAATGCCCCCCAAATATCACAAGAATTGACAAGAATTACCCTCTGGTGAACTAACATAGCAATGGAAAATGGCTATTTATAGTGGATTTTCCCATCAAAAATGGTGGATCTTTCCATTGCTATGTTAGTTCACCAGAGGGTACAAATTGTGCAGTTTCCATGTTATGGATGATGTAAATCAAGTGGCCTCATAGAACCACTGCCGCGGATGTCCGGCCAAGTGTTTGAAGCCCAGGCTACTACCGCAGCCGCGGTAAGCAGAATGCAGCCCTTCAGTGCTTGACCCAAAGCTGTTTGAGCGCTCGGCCAACTATGTATGTATGAATATGATATATGATATATGATATATGATATATGATATATGTATATGTATATGTAGATGTAGATGTATATGTATATGTAGATGTATATGTATATGTATATGTATATGTATATGTATATGTATGATAATATATGTATATGTATATGTATGATAATATATGTATATATATATATAAAACATATGTATATTTTATAGTATTATATATAATATAACATTATATATTATGTATATATTATATTATATATACACATATGAATTTATTTATATAATATAATATAATATAATATAGAATAATATAATATATAATAATATAATATAATATAGAATAATATAATATATAATAAAATCTATAATCAAATTTAAAAGAATATGAAATAATATAAAATTAAAACCAATATAATATAAAATATTGTATTTATAATAACATAATATTTATAATCCAATATAATATAATATATCTATAATACAATATATAGCGCAATATAATACACTATAATACAATATAATACAATATAATACAATATAATACAATATAATACAATATAATACAATATAATACAATATAATACAATATAAAGTAATATGATATATAATATAACATAATATAACATAATATAATATAATAGAATATTAAATAATACAATATAATATAATATTATAATACAATACAATAAAAAATAATATAAAATATTTATAATACAATATAATGTAATATATTTACAATCCAATATAATATAATATATCTATAATACAATATAATACAATATATAATATGTAATATAGAATATAATTTATAATAAAATATAATATAGTATAAGATAATATAATACAATAAATAATATTATGGTATATAATATAATGTAATATATATAATATAACATAATGTAATACAATAGAATGTAATATAATATAATATATAATACAATATATAATATAATATAATATAAAATATGACATAAAATGAAATAAAATAAAATAATATATAATATATAATATATAATATAATATCATATAATATCATATAATATAATACAATATAATATAATGTATATATAATATAATACAATATAATATAATATAATACAATATAATATATAATATCATTTAATATCACATAATATCATATAATATAATAAATATATCATAATGTATATATAAATAAATATATATATATATACATAATATGATATTATATAATTAAGTGAAACAACGAGACCCAAATATCCGGCTGTTCTCGATGCGTCTGAAATGAAGTTCTCCTTGCGCAGTGACGGTCTCCAGAATTTGAAGGGTTGGAGGCAGGTTTTGATTCAAACTCAGGTTTGCTGAGCAGTGCTTGAGAATAGAGCAGCACTACAAGGAAGCGGAGAATGCCGTGCTTTTCTCAGTGGAACAGCTGGAACTGCTGAGCAGTGCCTTCCAAAAGCTGTTCAGTTTTCCACGTCCCGGAGGCGCGGACATACCTGAATTACGGTGTGCTTTTGAGCACCACTGGTGGGAAGCTCAAAGCCTGCCATGGCGGGGGTCTCTCCAATGGTTTGATAAAGTTGCTGCGACCCCAACTTGCTGTTAGACTTACGCCAGGGTTCTGAAACAAATAAAATCAGACCCCTGGCTGCTGGTTTCAAAGAAGGGCATCCCAACACTTGGGATGATGATCTCCAACTGAAAGATGGTTTCTGGATGGGGTTGAAAAACATGCTAACCACCAACGACAGCGACGCTGCAGTGCTTGAAACGAAAGGTCGCAACGGAGAAGCTTTGGAGCAGATTGAGAAGGCGCAAACCATGGATTTTTTTCGTACTTACCCATACGGATCATATGGGAGCAGCTCAAATTTAACATTACCTCCAAAAATAGATGGTTTGATCATGTTTATGTTTAACATGTTAATATTGAACATGACCTGCCATTTGTGTTTCTGGTCGCCACAACCATGTGGTTCCAGTGATTGAAGTGGCACAAAGTCAAAGACCTCATAGCGAGTTCCGGGCCTGTGGTTCTCCCAGACTTGCAAGGAAAAATCTATAGAGGAAACCATCCTAACTTCATCAAAAGTGTCAATAAGAACATGGCAAAGTCGCAAAATTCTCCTGAAACTTCGCAACGAAATCCTTGGATCCAGGCGTTTGAAGTCTTGGAGTTTCCACGTGCCTGAGATCCCGCTCAGGCTTTGGCAGTGTTGCATGACCGGGAAAGAGAATCCCCAGAGGCCTGCCGTGTCGGATGCGTTTCCGATGCTAATGATTCCCGATGATGGATGCTTGGTCAAAACGATTTGAAGCTGTGAACACCGTAGAGAAGAAAGGGGGGAGCTCTCTTTCTAGCAACGGAGGTGGAATTGAACATTTCAAAGGCATTCACTGCACAAACTAGGGTCTTTTCCAATCTGCAGATTATGCTGTACTTGTCTGTGACAGTCGCTAGGATTTCTTCATTTCCAGGATGTACCTTTGACTTGGACCTTTTGCTGCCATGCGCTTGAAGATAGTTATAGTTATATGTGAAGTTCTTCCAGGCACTCTTGTTACTATCGCCCGGAACCAGCCAGAAAAACATTTCGGAACCATATATGATGGTATATCAATGTGGGCAGAATTTTTTAGAAAGAAATCATAAGGCTGAACATCTTTGAATAGTTCAATACAAGTTCCAGATCTTGTTATGTTCTCCACAGCATTTGCAGGGATGAAAACTTGAGAATAACTCGCAGGTCAACCTAGAGACCTCACAGATGCTGGTCGTGATGAACTCAGCCGATGAAGAAGCTGTTGGCAACCGTTTCAGCTGAAGAGAAGAGGTGCTCCCACAGCGAATAGGTGTTGTTTGTCCGAAAACTAGGGATACCCAAGACAAATATTTTGATAAGGAAAATGCTGCTGAACCATGATAAACCATCAAATTTGGTGGGTACCCTATTTCAGAGCTCCTGCTTCTCTGGTGAAGTATAGCGAAAGACGGGGAGGCTACCCACCCATCCCAACCACCGTGTTGACTCACTCAGTGACTCAGTGTTGGCAGTGCCTGGCGAAGGAAAATCCAGGTAGTTCCAATGAATTTCTACAGCCCGGGCTGTTCTTGCTGGATTCCAGCGAACTATCCCCCATTTTTGGAGAGTGAGATTATATAGATAACATCAGATAAGTCAGCAATTTGATCTTGGATGAGTTGAAGCTTGGATGGCTGTTCGTGAAGAATTCGGTTCATTCCGAGTCCAGGTGGCGCACTACAACACCTTTGTGGAGCATTTGCGGCTGAAGCAAAATGCCACAGGCGCGAAAGGGATGGGTAATCCATGGTAATCCGGTAAAGGCCATGGCCAAGTGAACCAAACATAGCTGGGCATTTTGAGGATCAAACAATCCAATTTTTTTAGCCACAAATGGCTTCATCACTGCTCATGTGATTGGAATATCAAGTACTGAGGTATCTACAATCCTCTGAAGATTTTGTACTTGGTTTGATCCATAGCTCCAAGCTTTGTCGCTTCCACAAACACGTCGCCCTATGACTCCATCCTTTGAAATAGGAGTAGGGTATTTTTCCAGATGATTATATGATATGAATGCATGACATACAATGTAACCATTGATTGGGCAAAGGCTGAAGGAGATTTATTGATATACAGTTGTTTTTCTTCATTTTGTCTGGATACCCTCCTCCAAATTACACTTTTGGGGTATCCCGGGTATCCCCCAATTTGGCCCATACCCGTTGTGTAAGGCACAAATCCCATGGTTAACCATCACTGTTTGCGTCAAAATTGAAACTTTAGGATGCGGACTGTTGGAACACCAATGACTTCAAAACGACGACTTCAAATGGTAATTTTCACGAGGACAATTATCATCAAAACCATTTATTCAACGTTTTCTCTCTAAACTTAACGGAAGACCATGAGATAAGTTGGTGTCTTATCTGTAATTGGGATGATGATCCTTAATCATCTTCCTACTTTTGAGCGGGTGGCTCAACCCCAACCATCATATTATATGGCTATGGATCAATACCTATAAGTACCATTTTTAGTGGGATGAACATCCATTTACCAGCTATTTTGATGTTCACCAGGGGTACAAGGTTTTGACACACTGCCATATGTTTTTTGAAATTTCTTCACTGATTCACCGTTTTTTTGTCACCCTAGAACCCATGGATCCAGGCATGCAAGCCTTGCAGAAGGCTTTACAGGTGGCCGGTCGGAAGCTGGGCGAGTCAACATCTCAGTTACTGGTAGCTACTGTGGGTTTATCTTAGGGAAAATCAGCTACAGACAGGTTACAGACAGCAAGGATATCTAGACATATCATTCCAAATGCATTCAAATACACAAATTACATCATATCCTATCATATCTAATTACTATCTAGTTGTGATTTGGCCTGAAATGCCAGAGATAGCTCGAGATCATCTACAAATAAGGGGTGTACTGTAAGGGTCTATTTTGCATGGATAGATTTAGAAGATATCACCCCCCTCTAAATTTGAATTTCCAACGGATCCTGGAAATGAATAGATCCGTCTGGGGGTATTTTAAAGTGGGAGGAGATTACCAGTAAGATGGGTTTGTGAATCCAGTTGTGTTATGGCTGTTTAACTATTGTTTGCCACAAAATTGTATGTATTCACTAACAGACTTGGGCATGTTGCAAACAGAAATGAGGAGATCACCGAAATTCGACAATCAATTTTGCTTCTATGGGTCCATTGATGCTCCAATTTTGAGCCACGACCAGAGAAGATAGACGGTTTGAAGAACAGGTCACCAGTTGTTCATGACATCTTCCTTCAGCTGGTCGAATGGCAAACTTTCTAGAAAACCTCCAAGAACGGCATGTGTATCAAACTTGTCAGCACCTGCATTTGCTGTCGAATCTATATAGCTTAAAACAATTCAGCTGTTTATGGGCTTATTGCTTGTTGCACCCGAGAGGAACTCCAGAACAGGTTCTGATTCTAGTCATGTTGTGGATCTAGGCTAAATATATCATGCCGGCAGGATTGATGCTTGGTTACATGGATAGCCCTGGCCCACAAATTAGGCCGTGCCTAGAAGCCTTGGTGCTAAGGTCCAGCAATCTGACCCAAAAAATCAAAGAAGTGCAGATTGAGCTGGAGAAGCGTCTCGAGCAGAAGGCCATCTCACTTCAGTTGGGATAGCACTTGGCAAATCTGCTACTTCTTCCAGCTTCTAGGGGCACCCTGGATCCTGAAAAGGGCCCAACTATGACCAAATTGATATGGACTGATTTTGTCTAATCAGTATCTATGGATAGTTATTTGCTCAATAACAACTACAACTACAATATACTTATTATCCATATCAAATGGATAATTGATGATATTTGATACTGCCAGATAACTGGGGGTATCTTCTCCCCCTTCTCCCCTCATGGGGATGCCCGCTTCGCAGGCGGCCTCAGAGCGCTTCCGCACCACTGCTGGGAGCTTCGAGGTGTCACAGATCTTCATGCATTTTCAGGAGTGATCATTGTGGGAACTTTGGGAAACTTTAGTGATGGAATGGGATGGGAGCTAAGTTGGGGTCCAAGTCAGGGATTCGATGGGAGGGTCGGGAACTTCAGGGATGGATTGATTGCATTTTGCAGAGAAAGTCACCCTTTGCAGTTTTCTGGGAGCAAACAAAAGCAGAGATTTATCCGGAACAGACCCAACAAATGGGGATTTGTCCAACAGACGAAGGAATTGCACCAGCCAAAGGGCTGGGATTTATCCGACAGATCGAAGTGACCAAATATCGAGAAACCAGCCCTGGCTATCCTGGCTATCGATTTATAGGAGATGTGCGGCAATGATTGCAAAATGATTGGTGATCTAAAGCATGAAACATGGCATATTAATCAATAATAATAGTTGATTCACCTACCCTTCAGGTAGGTGAAAATGGGTTGCATTTTTGCAATAAATTGACACATATATTTTCCAGCTGCAATGAACATGGGTAAGGTGTCGCTTCTCCTGGTGACCATCTGTTGGTGTTCCAAATGTCCATGTTTCATTTTAAGGGAAAACTTTTCTGCTTCGGTATCACCCAAGTTGTGTATGTAATGTATGTGATGGTATACAATTGTACGTACACACATACGATTATATATATATATAACATATATATATATAACATATATATATAATATATAACATATATATATATACACTGTATATATAACATATATATATATAACATACATACATATTATACATGATACGGGTACACATATTTTTCTTATTGTACACGCATCCATCCAACTTCGGGACATGCTAAAAGTGGCAGGACAGCCAAGCACATCCCTGGCGGAAAGTGACTCTGGACGAAGCTGATGCTGATCGTGTCCAGGAACCCAGAGAGTTGACCTCGGTTGCAGAGATGTGTTTCGACTGAAATGGACCATGGATATGGATGTACCCTATCCATCTATCAATCTATCAATCTATCTGCCCAATCTATTGATCTATTTATGGATCTATCAATCTAGGTATCTTTATGTACATTATCTATTCATATCTATTCTATACGAGTAAAATAGATAGTAGGTTATCCATATATGTATATATACCCCCAGGCCGGGGGTGCGGCCCAGAGGTCTATCACGTCACCAACTCTTTAGGGTTTGTTTAGGGTTTGTTTGGGGTTTGTTTAGGGTTTTTTTAGGGTTTATCTAGGGTTTCATTTAGGGTTTTTAGGTTTTGACCAGGGTTTTAATGAGATTTTACTTTCAAGGCTTACTTAGGGTTTCATGTCAGATTTAGGTTTTGGGGTTCAGGGTTTTGTGTTTTGGAAACAAATCTCGTAAGCTATTCGGCCATTCCGCCGAAATCCCAAAATGCAAAAAACACTGGCTCTGCGAAGTCAAAACCTTCCCCGGGCAGCACCCCTGTCCTGGACGTATACATATATACATATATATATATATAAAGGGCTACGCCCTCTGCCGCCGACCCCTGGACACTGGAGGGTCATGCCTGCCTCTGTGTCGTAAGCATGAAATGAACCCTAAAGAAACCAGAAACTGACCTAAACAAACCATTTGTATGTGCGTTTGGCACTGTGCACATGCAAGCAGCATGGACCCCTGCAGGATGACACGCACAACTATGTGTTCTGACACTTTTTCATGGCTCAAGAAATAGGAGCTTTCGTCATTGGGCAGGTGTCTTGGGGACCTAAAGGGTTGCTCTAGCACTTAAGACCCATACCCGAAGCCCCCGTTCGTAACCGCAGTATGAAACTTTAAATGGCATCCTAAAGAGACCCGAGATGACACTGCACTGCCAACTGCCACCCTGCTCGTGTCCTCCTGGAGCCGGCTTTCGTTCTGCACCGCTTCGGTCCAAGCTGGAGTCCAAGGACCGTGTCGCAGGGCTAAAACACCATGGCAGTGAAGGACGGATTGGGCCGCGGCCCGTATCCCAGACTGCCAAACGTCACTTTCTGAACCGACTAGAAACTAGCTCCAAACCTTGACTTTTCCTACGTTTCTGCACTGCCAACTGCCACCCTGCTCGTGTCCTCCTGGAGCCGGCTTTCGTTCTGCACCGCTTCGGTCCAAGCTGGAGTCCAAGGACCGTGTCGCAGGGCTAAAACACCATGGCAGTGAAGGACGGATTGGGCCCGCGGCCCGTATCCCAGACCAAACCTTGACTTTTCCTGCGTTTCTGCACTGCCAACTGCCACCCTGCTCGTGTCCTCCTGGAGCCGGCTTTCGTTCTGCACCGCTTCGGTCCCAAGCTGGAGTCCAAGGACCGTGGCAGTGAAGGACGGATCTGAACCGACTAGAAACTAGCTCCAAACCTTGACTTTTCCTGCGTTTCTGCACTGCCAACTGCCACCCTGCTCGTGTCCTCCTGGAGGCCGGCTTTCGTTCTGCACCGCTTCGGTCCAAGCTGGAGTCCAAGGACCGTGTCGCAGGGCTAAAACACCATGGCAGTGAAGGACGGATTGGGCCCGCGGCCCGTATCCCAGACTGCCAAACGTCACTTTCTGAACCGACTAGAAACTAGCTCCAAACCTTGACTTTTCCTGCGTTTCTGCACTGCCAACTGCCACCCTTGCTCGTGTCCTCCTGGAGCCGGACTTCGTTTCTGCGGCTCCACTATCTCCCTTTCCCCCCCCCCTCCCAAACCTTGACTTTACCTGCGTTTCTGCACTGCCAACTGCCACCCTGCTCGTGTCCTCCTGGAGCCGGCTTTCGTTCTGCACCGCTTCGGTCTAAGCTGGAGTCCAAGGACCGTGTTGCAGGGCTAAAACACCATGGCAGTGAAGGACGGATTAGGCCCGCGGCCCATATCCCAGACTGCCAAACGTCACTTTCTGAACCGACTAGAAACTAGCTCCAAACCTTGACTTTTCCTGCGTTTCTGCACTGCCAACTGCCACCCTGCTCGTGTCCTCCTGGAGCAGGCTTTCGTTCTGCACCGCTTCGGTCCAAGCTGGAGTCCAAGGACCGTGTCGCAGGGCTAAAACACCATGGCAGTGAAGGACCCCAGACTGCCAAACGTAATTTTCTGAACCGACTAGAAATTAGCTCCAAACCTTGACTTTTCCTGCGTTTCTGCACTGCCAACTGCCACCCTGCTCGTGTCCTCCTGGAGACGGCTTTCGTTCTGCACCGCTTCGGTCCAAGCTGGAGTCCAAGGACCGTGTCGCAGGGCTAAAACACCATGGCAGTGAAGGACGGATTGGGCCCGCGGCCCGTATCCCAGACTGCCAAACGTCACTTTCTGAACCGACTAGAAACTAGCTCCAAACCTTGACTTTTCCCGCGCTTCTACATTGCCAACTGCCACCCTGCTCGTGTCCTCCTGGAGCCGGGCTTTCGTTCTGAGGCCCGTTAGCCAGAGTGCCAAACGTTACTTTGGAACCGGACTAGAAAAAATAGCTCCAAACCTTTGGCTTTTACCGCGTTTCTTTGGGCACTCCAACTGCCACCATGCTCGTGTACTCTTGGCGCCGGCGTAGTTCTGCACAGCATTCGAGTCCCAAAGCTGGAGTCCAAGGACCGTGTCGCAGGGCTAAACACCATGGCAGTGAAGGAAGGATTGGGCCCGCGGACCGATCCCAAGACTGCAGGAGTCACTCTGAACCGACTAGAAAACTAGCTCAAACCTTGACTTCCTGACGTTTCTGCCATGCCCAACTGGCCACCCTGCTCGTGTCCTCATGGAGCCCAGACTGCCCAACGGGTCCACTTTCTTGAACCGGACTAGAAAGAAAAAATCTAGCCCTCCAAACCTTGACTTCCTGCGTTTCTGCACTGCCAACTGCCACCCTGTCGTGTCCTCCTGGAGCCGGCTTTCGTTCTGCACCGCTTCGGTCCAAGCTGGAGTCCAAGGACCGTGTCGCAGGGCTAAAAACACCATGGCAGTGAAGGACGGATTGGGCCCGCGGCCCGTATCCCAGACTGCCAAACGTCACTTTCTGAACCGACTAGAAACTAGCTCCAAACCTTGACTTTTCCTGCGTTTCTGCACTGCCAACTGCCACCCTGCTCGTGTCCTCCTGGAGCCGGCTTTCGTTCTGCACCACTTCGGTCTAAGCTGGAGTCCAAGGACCGTGTCGCAGGGCTAAAACACCAATGCAGTGAAGGACGGATTAGGCCCGCGGCCCGTATCCCAGACTGGCAAACGTCACTTTCTGAACCGACTAGAAACTAGCTCCAAACCTTGACTTTTCCTGCGTTTCTGCACTGCCACTGCCACCCCCCTGCTCGTGTCCCATGGCGAGACGGCTTTCGTTCTGCGGCTCCTAAACCTTGGACTTTACTGCGTTTCTGCACGCCCAACTGCCACCTGCGCGTGTCCTCTGGAGCAGCCGGTTTCGTTTGCGCGACTTCGGTCTAGCGGAGTCCAAGGACGTGAGCAGGGCCTAAAAACACCATGGCAGGGAAGGACGGATTAGGGACCGCGGCCCGTATCCCAGGACTGCCAAAGTCACTTTCTGAAACCACGACTTAGAAGAAACTAGCTCCCCAAACCTTGGACTTTTACGCGTTTCGGCGCTGGCCAACTGCACCACTTCATCGTGTCATCCTGGAGCCGGAGGGCTTTCTTCTGCCCGCTTCGGTTCCAAGCGCTTGGAGTCAAGGACCGTTGTCGCAGGGCTCTTACTCTTCTAAAACACAATGGCAGTGAAGGACGGATTGGGCCCGCGGCCCGTATCCTAGACTGCCAAACGTCACTTTCTGAACCGACTAGAAACTAGCTCCAAACCTTGACTTTTCCTGCGTTTCTGCACTGCCAACTGCCACCCTGCTCGTGTCCTCCTGGAGCCGGCTTTCGTTCTGCCCCGCTTCGGTCCAAGCTGGAGTCCAAGGACGTGTCGCAGGGCTAAAACACCATGGCAGTGAAGGACGGATTGGGCCGCGGCCCGTATCCCAGACTGCCAAACGTCACTTTCTGAACCGACTAGAAACTAGCTCCAAACCTTGACTTTTCCTATGTTTCTGCACTGCCAACTGCCACCCTGCTCGTGTCCTCCTGGAGCCGGCTTTCGTTCTGCACCGCTTCGGTCCAAGCTGGAGTCCAAGGACCGTGTCGCAGGGCTAAAACACCATGGCAGTGAAGGACGGATTGGGCCCGCGGCCCGTATCCTAGACTGCCAAACGTCACTTTCAGAACCGACTAGAAACTAGCTCCAAACCTTGACTTTTCCTGCGTTTCTGCACTGCCAACTGCCACCCTGCTCCTGTCCTCCTGGAGCCGGCTTTCGTTCTGCGGCTCCAAACCTTGACTTTACCTGCGTTTCTGCACTGCCAACTGCCACCCTGCTCGTGTCCTCCTGGAGCCGGCTTTCGTTCTGCACCACTTCGGTCTAAGCTGGAGTCCAAGGACCGTGTTGCAGGGCTAAAACACCAATGCAGTGAAGGACGGATTAGGCCCGCGGCCCGTATCCCAGACTGGCAAACGTCACTTTCTGAACCGACTAGAAACTAGCTCCAAACCTTGACTTTTCCTGCGTTTCTGCACTGCCAACTACCACCCTGCTCGTGTCCTCCTGGAGCCGGCTTTCGTTCTGCACCGCTTCGGTCCAAGCTGGAGTCCAAGGACCGTGTCGCAGGGCTAAAACACCATGGCAGTGAAGGACGGATTGGGCCCGCGGCCCGTATCCCAGACTGCCAAACGTCACTTTCTGAACCGACTAGAAACTAGCTCCAAACCTTGACTTTTCCTGCGTTTCTGCACTGCCAACTGCCACCCTGCTCGTGTCCTCCTGGAGCCGGCTTTCGTTCTGCACCGCTTCGGTCCAAGCTGCAGTCCACGGACCGTGTCGCAGGGCTAAAACACCATGGCAGTGACGGACGGATTGGGCCCGCGGCCCGTATCCCAGACTGCCAAACGTCACTTTCTGAACCGACTAGAAACCAGCTCCAAACCTTGACTTTTCCTGCGTTTCTGCACTGCCAACTGCCACCCTGCTCGTGTCCTCCTGGAGCTGGCTTTCGTCCTGCGGCCCGTAGCCCAGAGTGCCAAACGTTACTTTCTGAACCGATTAGAAACTAGCTCCAAACCTTGACTTTACCTGCGTTTCTGCACTGCCAACTGCCACCCTGCTCGTGTCCTCCTGGCGCCGGCTTTCGTTCTGCACCGCTTCGGTCCAAGCTGGAGTCCAAGGACCGTGTCGCAGGGCTAAAACACCATGGCAGTGAAGGACGGATTGGGCCCGCGGCCCGTATCCCAGACTGCCAAACGTCACTTTCTGAACCGACTAGAAACTAGCTCCAAACCTTGACTTTTCCTGCGTTTCTGCACTGCCAACTGCCACCCTGCTCGTGTCCTCCTGGAGCCGGCCTTCGTTCTGCACCGCTTCGGTCCAAGCTGGAGTCCAAGGACCGTGTCGCAGGGCTAAAACACCATGGCAGTGAAGGACGGATTGGGCCCGCGGCCCGTATCCCAGACTGCCAAACGTCACTTTCTGAACCGACTAGAAACTAGCTCCAAACCTTGACTTTTCCTGCGTTTCTGCACTGCCAACTGCCACCCTGCTCGTGTCCTCCTGGAGCCGGCTTTCGTTCTGCACCGCTTCGGTCCAAGCTGGAGTCCAAGGACCGTGTCGCAGGGCTAAAACACCATGGCAGTGAAGGACGGATTGGGCCCGCGGCCCGTATCCCAGACTGCCAAACGTCACTTTCTGAACCGACTAGAAACTAGCTCCAAACCTTGACTTTTCCTGCGTTTCTGCACTGCCAACTGCCACCCTGCTCGTGTCCTCCTGGAGCCGGCTTTCGTTCTGCACAAACTCTTCGCCCCTTCTGGCATCTTGTTGCTAGTAAGGCCTCCTCTGACGCGCTCCCCCTGCTGACGGCAGGGGTCGGCGGATATACACACACACACACATAATGATAATAATACGTGTAAGTCGGAAATCCTGAACCTGAACCAGCCCATCCTCAGGGCTGAAAACAACTGGGGCACTGCCTCACCGGCTGAGGCACAGGAGATCTTATCACATTCCAAGCAGATCACGTTGAGGCGGAAGAGGTGCAGCTCCTCCAAATGGACATTCCAGGGTCTGATAATTCTGGTTGGATTGGTCGGTCCCCAATGCCTGGTATCCCATACACATATATATATATATGTATATATACGCATATATATATACATACATACATGTATATATTTATTTATATTGTCCATAATATGTACGTATGTATGCAATGTAATGTAATGTAATGCAATGCAATGCAATGCGCAATGTGTAATGCAATGCAATGGTATGGTATGTTGTGGTGTGGTATGGTATGTACGTAAATATGTATATATATATATATATGGTGTATATCGTGTGTATACGCAGAAGGACATTCACAATGGCTGTCAACCACTGAAGATTCCTGAGATACACATGAAAGGGTCAGAACCTATACTTTAAAGAAACCCAAAGGCTGGATCCGGTCATAGCCCACTGTGTCCCCTTGGATAGCAACCCGCAAAAAGATGGAACAATTGGTGGCCAGAATATAAGGGAACGGAATCTCTTATCAAGAGATGTTGAGTTCGCAGTGCCTAGATACATGAAAATGGGCTTGCAAAATGCATCTGAGGGGCCGTCTACCCAGTAGGGATTAATAAGAGATTTGCTTGGTGGCAATCCCAGACTCCTTGGAAACCCATGGCCCTCAATAAGCGATGTTGCTTCTTTACTTGTCACTACCAAAAGGGACCAACCACCCTCTAGCAAACATCCTTTGGTGTGGCTTAATGTGGGGCTGCAGTGCCAAAGGTCATAGCTATTTACGGGCTGGGCCCGGCAAAACAGCCCGTATGGGATTAAGACCTCCGAGCTCCACAACGAGGATTGATAAGAAATAAGGAAAACGACGGGAAGATTACAGCGAGGAAATGAGAAATGCTGAGTTTATGCTGAAGAAATGGAAAAAGTGTCTGTATCTTATGCCATTCTTGAAATATCGATATTATATATGCTCTACATGTGTATATGTTTCTATATGTGAATTTTTAATGTGTTTTCAATGTGTTGTGGATGATTTTTGAATGTCAAAATCCAGCAACAAGGGAGCAACACCAGCAAAACCACCAGCACTTTTTTTTAAAAACAAAACTTCATATGTCACATTTTTTTCAACATTGGTAGCAACAAACGGCCAACACAGCACAAACTTTAAAGACAATATATCCAGACCACATTTATAACACAGTGAACATAGACATTGAAAATGCTTAGATATATAGAACCATAATGGAACATCTTTCTATATTCTGTATATACTTACTTCTCATTCCAAAGATTTATATATTTCACCCAGCATTTCTCTAATTTTTCATAGCCACAGAGTGAGGCATCCAAGTCATCCCCCATGACAGGGAGGAGTTTCTCCCACCAAAAATCAATCTCTTGTTAAAGAGCTCTCATTGAATTAACCCATGCAACCCCTTATTTGTTTATGAATGTGCAATACCAGATTTTTTTATGTGCGAGTGCGCCCGGAATCGAATACCGGGGATTTTCACTGATCACTTGGAACATAAATCATCCGTGACCCCAAAATCTCCTGTTAAGAATGCTAAGAGATGTTAGCAGGGACCAAACATTTTCCAGAATATTTACGCAAATCATCCAATACAACCCCAAACTGGTTTTCCAGAAGGTTTACTAACAAGTCTTGGTGGGGATGGGCACCCATCGAACACCTGCAGATTCCCAATGACCATTTAAGAACGAGACGAACACCGTCGGTATCTCTTGCTAAGAGATTATCATTGCCGAGATTTTGGTGGGAATGTGCATCCATCACCGAATACCTGCGGATTTGGAATGTTGCTGTTAAACAAACAGTGGGTTTGTTTTGTTTCACATCTAAAACGCCCGGGCCAAATGTTCTCCAAATATTTAGCAAAATCAGTTGGAATGCTGCTGATCCATTGGTGGATTTGGTTCACATCTAAAATACGGTTATTATCATTGTACCATTGGACATATACTACCCCAATATCTCTCATTACTGTAAGAGATTTTGTTTTTTTTGAAAAATGTTATTTCTTATTCTCTGCGTTTGAGCGCGACTATTAGCATAAAATAAGGTGGTGTCACAACATACACATCAAGCTTGAGAAGTCTTGGGAAGTGATTTTAAGGGACAATAGAGGTGATTAAGCCTGAATACGAGGCATTGGGTTCAAACTATCTACCCCAATAAGGCCGACATCTCTTACGTTCTGGCCACCCTGTTTTGCCCCCCCAAACTAGGATTCCATGATATAAATCAGGCCATTCACCATTGTATCACTTCGGGGTTATTCAAAAATTGAGGTATTCTCCAAATTTTGAGGAAATGGTGACATTGAAACCCCAGGCCGCCATTGGAAGTCCCACTGCCTCCAGATGAGCCTCCTGCTCGACCTCGACCCAGGTGGAGGGATGCAGTATTTCCATACTTGTACATGTGTATATCCACGTGTGCATAAACTGTATATATGTACGTAGGTATGTAGGTACGTACGTACGTACCTACATAGCTACATAGCTACATACCTACATACCTACATACCAAAGTACCTACGTAGCTACGTAGCTACGTAGCTACATAGCAACATAGCAACATAGCTACATAGCTACATAGCTACATAGCTACATAGCTACATAGCTACATAGATACATAGATACATAGATACATAGATACATAGATACATTGATACATAGCTACATACATAGATACACAGATGCATAGATAGATAGATAGATAGATAGATAGATAGATAGATAGATAGATAGATAGATAGATAGATAGATAGATAGATACATACATCCATACATACATGCATACATACATATTTCACTGTCGACTGTCTATGTATGTAGATATGATAGATAAAATTCTCAGGTTGATTGATGTGTGGACCATACACTTTCTAACATGTGTTTCCGCGATCCTTCTGGTGATGCCCCAGGCCGAAGGTGTTGGGGCCCTCAGTTCTTCGCCGAACGGCCTCAGTGATGGCCAGTGACGTCGCTGCTCAGGCAGAACCAGGCTTACAAAATGCCTCCAATGCGAGTGCCGGATCGCCTCACTCTCAGAGATGTGAGTCTGATAAACCATGTAAGGACTGGCAATCAGAATTCCTTAGGAGCTCATGGATTTCCAGAAGTTCAGGTAATTGGTACCCATTTGTTTTTCATGAAACCCATGGTTTTTCCACTGATCGCCAGGATGGTGGGATTCCAGACCCAAGCTACTCAAAGCGGATGGTTGCTTCGCAGGATCTCCAATTCTGTGCCAACATGCCCGGGGCTCCTGGGGCTCCTGGGGCTCCTGGAAGGGCCAGGGACTGGTGGCCACTTGAGCTTTGGCAATAAAAAAAAGGTTACCTCAAAGGGTAAGTTGGTGTGCCCGGAAGTCTTCGGAGGTGGAAATCGAGGGCGCAAAGTTGGATTTTCATCCTGCCATCTGCAGTGGAACCATGCTGGTGTTTGGCGCCCTTGACTCATTTTTGGACATAGCCACTGTAGTTGCCAGGAACGACACTGTGATTCTGTTTTGCCATTCTCAGGTGACAACATCCCCCACTAGGATGAACAATGTCACCATCAACCAGATTATAATCCTCCCTTCTCAAGAAACATCCCCCAGAAACTTGAGTAGCGGCTAGCGGGCCCATATCAGCGGCAGATTTATCAGGGGGATGGGAGAGCATCACCGAGTGGAAACGATCCTGGTTTTTTGGATGTTGTTGGGGTACAAACCCAAGGTTGGTCAACCTCAAAGGCATGCCCTGAGTCAGAACCTGGGAGGAAATTAAACCACTAACATGTCACATATACTAAACTTACTAAACCACTGGACTCCCATATTTTGGCTGCAAACTTTGAACCCACGCAGCTCCAACAACCAGCCCATTGAAACACAGAATTGGCCTTGTCGCCGCACTGCTGTCTTCATGAGCCATGGCATGGACTGTGTGGCTTCTATGTCTCCGGCTGGTCTTAGCTCAAGAACTGGGAATAGGATTCTGGGAGGTTGTTTGAGTTTAAAATAGTTTAAAGCTTGCGATTTGCCCCTCCTATTGTTTGGTAAAAAGGCATGGAATTTGTTTTGAATCTGTCTGAGCGAGGAATCTATGGACCAATGACCTCATATTCGCAGTGGGACATAGCTGTCGTGGCGGCTTTCGATTTAGACTTGCGCAGAAACTTTGACCCAAGCATTGCGAGTCGTTTTGGTGAACGGCCAATCATCCATGTGCCTAACCTGCATCCACAGGCGTGGGAGCTGGTTTCTTGTTTTTTTGGTTTATATTATATTCGATATAACATTAATGGATTTGGGGTGTCCCCATGGTTTTTGGACTTACCGACTTACCAGTCACTTGTTGAAGTGGCTGAGAATCCCCAAGCACAGAAGTTTCAACCTGAGAATCGTCAGAATCGCAGTGTAACTTGCTGGCAGGTGGCAAATCTGACTCTGCGCATAGGCACCAGTCATTCAAAATCAGAAGCTTGGCGGACCTTTCCACCGGATGTGGTACAGGGCAAAGCTATGTGGAAGTGGATCGTGGTGTTTCGAGTACCGCTGTTGATGTGCATCTATGGTCTTGAACCCTATGGTCAGGGTCTTTTCCAAGTGGTGGAAAATGAAGCAAGGACAGCAGGCCAGAGAGTATGAAACCTGTTGCAGTCTACTAGGTCCCAAGTCCTTGTGACGCATGGTTTTAAATCCAGGAATACAGTAGGGTATATCCCCAACGGCCCACATGGCAATTTCAATAGAGACAGGATAAGAACCATACTGTAGGATGAAATGATTTATATACCCCATCTTTGGACAAACAACTATGAAGGGATGGCGCTTGTAGCAAAAAACATCATTTCCATGCCCTGCAGGTGAGCAGCATCGCTTTCGAGGAGTTGCCATGCGCAACATGGAAATCTTTGTGGTTGAAGAGGCAATGATAGCAATTGACTTCGTTCGCTCCTTCAAAAGCCGCTTCTTGTTTCTTTCTACCAATGTGACCTGGCAAATTTGGGGGTTTCGCAGTGTTGCTGGGGTTGGTTCCCCGGCCACCGGGTCAAAAAACACGGTCTTAGGTTGTCCTTTCACCAGCCGCTGAGGTAGGGCTGAACGATGGTTTGCTGCCTCTTCTAGACCGAGAAGGCTTTTTTGACCATGGCTGGCAAGTTGTTGCATCAGAGACAGCCACAAATTATGCAAACTTTCCCGTGGGCTTTATGCGGTGGAAGCCGGTGAGTGAAGGTCCCAAGTATCAGGACCTTTTGGAACAAAACTGAGGCTGTTTCCGATGTTCAAAGCCCATCCCAACCAACCATGACCAACCATGTTTTGTTTCTGCTGGGGTATCAACACAGGACTTTCGAGAGCTTTGGTCAAAGATGAGAGCCACAGATGTCCTATCAGAAGAAGCCAGGGCTCGCTATGGGATTGACAGCTTCCGAATACCACTAGACGAAGCCACGGTACCTCCGATTACAGATGCTGGGTTTGTGGACCCCAGCCTGGCCCTTGATCTGTATGAACCATTCTTGTTCGATGCTCTCTACGCCTTTGTCATTGCCATCAACACGTTGTTGAATGGGGGTGTTCCCCTAGAAGAAATCAAGGGTGACAGGTTGTTAAACCAGCTGCGCATCACAGAGTTCGAAGGCATCTCAGGTTTGGTGAGTTTTGACCAGTACGGCGACCGGCAGGCGTCTTACGAGCTTGTCAATCTACATCCAGATGGCTTGAGGGTAGCTGCCCTGTACCGGGGGGTGGAAGATCAGTTGGTGGTGGCAGCTGGCAGTGTCTATTGGGTGGGAGGTATGCGGGTAGACCAGCCACCTTCGTTCCTGACGGATTGCGGTCCCGGCTCTTACAAGGACGAGTTGCTGGGGCAGTGCGTCCCCTGCACCCGAGGCTTCCAATGCATCAACGGCACCCAGGAGCTGTGCCCTAAAGGCACCTTCTCCAACGTCTCGGGGGCAACTTTCTGTCGCAACTGCTCCAAGGGCAGCTTCTATGGAGATTTGGGCTCTACCAGGTGTACCAGCTGCCAAGCGGGCTTTTATGCAGATGAAGAGGGCTTGGAAACCTGTCGGAGATGCCCCAAGGGCACGTATGTGTCCGCCCTTCACGCGGAAAGCTGCTTTGATTGTGGCATGAACCAAATCACCGAGGAAAGTGGGTCGCAGCTTCAATCTGACTGTCGCTGTGCCCAAGGCACCTTCATGTGCGACACTGGGCCCAGCCTGGGCTGTTTAACCTGTCCTGAGGGCCTTCTCTGTGCCACGGGCCTGGACCCACCTGTGCATCAGCCCGGATACTGGACCAGTGCAGATGACACCTGCAGATTCAAGGTGCTGAAACGACCAGAAATCCTTGTTGGTTGATTGTCAAACAGGGAATACGGGTCATATTCAGTTGCTTTGATGATGTTTAATGGGGATTATTCAGATCCATTTGGAACCACACCACCGAGTAGGTTTTGGGGGTGACAGGTTTTATGAACTGGCCGTCCCTGCACAGGTGCTGAAATGCCGCAACGCGCGGGAGTGCCCAGGGAAGATGTCGCTCGGTGGCTGTGCGGCAGGAAGGGAAGGAAGGGCCTGCAACAATTGCAAGCCAAACCACTACCCAAAAGATGATGGTACATGTGCCGAATGCGGAGCCACTGACTTTTTGCCTTCCGTGCTCTTCAGTCTGGCTGCTCTGAACCTTTTCATTTTGTAGCGAGGCTGCACCCCATCGCCATCTGAGACCGTTGTGCTTTTCCCTACATGCTATGGATCCCCTGGTTGGATGGTTGGATCCCACACGTGGGACCAAATCCACGATTGATATTGCAATCCAGGCTTCCCAAATTGTTGGGCTTGGCCCCTTCCATTTTGGATGGTAACCCACAAGATGGGAAAGTAATGGAATCTGATTTCGTTTGATACTATAGCACCACCCTAAAAGATAGAAAAGCCACACCCGATTCTAAAAGAGTAGTCGATTTTCCAAGTTTTCTGCATCTTTTTAATTTTTGGGGGGGTGCTAGAGCTGATTTACTATAACAATTGCATCAGTTCTATCTGTTTTTGCTCAGGTTCGTGCGCCTTTTGCAGGGTGACCTTGACCAGATGAGTTTGAACACTTTGACAGTGGCCGCAGTGGGAGGCTCGCAATGCGGGGACCATTGGGACCGGGATGAAGGCATTTATAGCGCCAAAAAAGATAGAAAGGTCATATGGGTATATCAATACCTATGAACATACCATTTTTAATGGGATGAACATCCATAAATCCCAGCTATTTTGGGGTGAACAAAAGGTACCAGGGTTTTGACCCATCCCCATATCCGATTCAGCAATGGTAAGTTTAAGCTTGTCTTAATTTTGTTGGGGGTAGAACCAATTTTGGTCATAGGCTCTTTGGGATTGAAGAGGGATTTAATACCATAGAATGGGGATGTAATGGAGATAGTATGATTTGACAATGAGCGATGGGACTACTATGGGATGAATTCTTATGGAATTTCATGGGATGAATTATATATACATAATCTATTTGGATTTTTGATAGGATATATCATAACCAGAAATTGGGATGACTTGATAATTGACCATGGCAAATGGGGATGTTCAATGGGGATATATTCTCAGCAATATTCGATTTGGGGTTGTCTGAAAATGGGCGAACTAGCCCCAAAAAGCACGGCCATTTTGTTTGGACAATGTTGATTAATAATCACATGCCGGGGTAGCCACATTTTCAGACAAACCAATTTTTACTGGTTTTTATTGTGGACCATGCCCAGTGGACCCATATTTTGGGTATAGCCTGCAGCAAGTCAGCAGTGAAAAAAAGGAACAGTTTTACCATTTGGTCATCGAACATAGCAATAACGGCCCATTTGTAGATGATGAACCTACAAATTATGGTTTTCCATAGCTATGTTAGATTACCGGAGGGTGGTAGAGTTTTTGAGGTTTGAAATTCAAGTTCCCACCAGGTCAGATGGTGACAGCCGTGCAAGCTTTGGGTTCAATCAGACAACTGTCCATCGATTGGGTGGAACCCGTCCGATCACTCATCAGCCTCACTCAAGTGCCTTCGATTGAGAAGAATGAATGGTGAAGAAGAGGTTAAGTGCTTGCGATCTTCAGACGTTTACTTCAATCAGCTTTGATTCTTGATCTAGTGATCATATTTGACTTTGGAATGCCGTTTGAGAGATGGTTGGCAATTTTGTGCTTTCTTCCGATGCAGCATGTGATTCGGGTTTGTCCAGTCATGGGGTATTCTATGGTATTCTGCCATACCCAAAGGGCATATATTTCACAAATCATTTCTGGAAACTATTGTGACATATCTAGGTCAAAACAGTAGGTTCAAATGAGAAAAAACACAATGATCATGGACCCATGGGACACCAGGTGCTGGTTCTGGATCTGGACCTCGTGCGGATCTCCTGCGTGGATGGCATCGATAGCCCCACGGTGAAATTCGTGCGGCGCCTGATGCTTTGTCCCATTGGCATCGGATGCATCTTGATCACCTGGGCAGTCAAGAAATGCCTGGGGCAGAAGATGCACTTTGATTCATGGCACGAAGCGATAGATTCCAATAGATCCATGATGATCCATGGGATTTGGATGTAGTGAATGCTCTGCATCTTTCGAATAAGATTCGATACCCTCCCAGAATGAGATTCTGGTGTAGTATTGGTATCATATTGAATCTATTCTTTTTGGAGGGCATTTAAAGAATCCGATAAACTCGGGAGAGGGATTCTCGATCTCCAAACAGTCAGCTTTTTTGAGCCTGGGGATCCGGTCATGTTGTTTGGTTGGAACCATCCTGCGATGGTTCCCCAAATCGACATTCTTGGGATGGCTTGAAAACGACCAACCAGACCGTCCAGACCCATCTCCAAGGATACCATCTTTAACATTTGTGGCGTCTTCACCTTCGCCCTCTTTATCTCCATCACGCTCTTTGTGGTGGATCCGCTGCGGTGTGGAAGAAATCCAGATGGATCGCTCTCCATGTTATCAAATCCTGGGGTGATCTGTTTTGACTCCGGGGAGCATTTCGTGATGCTGTTCTTGTGCATTCTGGGGATCCTGTGCTATCCCATGACCATCATAAGCTGGGCGACCTATACTACTTGCAGTTATCCCTCTAGGATCACTTCAGGCCGGCAACATGTGTTGGATGTGCATCCTTGGAATCAAGAGGTTATAGAATTACATATTCCTATTGCTGTGCTTATTGTTGTTCAATACCCATGTAAACGCCTATTTTGAACAAAGTTCACGTATAACAAGCTTGTAACATCTTGTAACCCAGAAATAGGATCGCAGTACGGAGATGGATTTAAGAAGTTCCCCTTTACCAAACATCAGCTACAAAGCTAATAAAGCTACAAAGTAACTACAAAGAATTTCCATCATCGCCCGCAGAATTACATAGACCACTGTATGTCCGCCTTCTTTTGAACCGAGATCTTTGATCCTTACCAGTGAAAGCCAGGACAGGGCCTCCAGTTAGTGCATCGGCACCGCTTCCTATTTCAACGTTTCAGACCCCAGCGCTACTACTACGGTTTGCTGCTGCTTTTGCGAAACGCTATGCTCGCGCTCTTCCCAGTGATTTTTACCCCTGTCCCTTCACTTCAGATTGAGATCATGGGATTTGTGTTGCTCACAGCATCTGCGTTGCAGATTCGCCTATGGCCCTGGAGAACGGAATTAGCCAACTACACAGATTTGGCCATCAACCTTCTCCTTCAGATCTTGCTGCTGGGAGTTTCTCCCTTAGTTAGTCGAGATGCCGAGAAATCCACAGTTCTGCTGGGATATCTTCTGAGCTTCGCGGTCCTGAGCCCCTTCATTGCAGGCCTCGTGGTCATCAGCCATGCAATCTGGCGCCATTTCATACCCCCGAGCCTCTTTGGCGTATTCTTGTGCCACCACAAGGCACGCTTTCTGGTCCGTGGGTATGGGATGCCTACCACTCCTGTATGCGTGAAAATTAGGTGTCTCATAAAAAGGGATCAATCATTTAATCGCTACTACAGATCGACTATAGATCCGTTTGCCGTCCCTCGATTTCTCCTCTTGAAACATCACCCGAATCATGGAATCTTTCCAGCTGACTGGTCCAAAACGGATCGATGATGAAGTTAGTTCCGAGCAAACAAGCCTGGCAATGGAAAATCTCCATTTTGAGCAGGAACTCGTCCAGAACAGGGACATTTTTCCAGTCAGCTTTGGGTCAGCTTTGGTTGTGAGCCGACCTACAAGATCATATTATATAGAAAATCCAACTCTGGCAATTTGACAAAAATCATCTGTTTCCACTGAAAATCCCATGAACCATGCTTTAAATATCTTTAAATCCCAATTGACAGCTGGTCTCGGCATTTTGCAGGGCAGCGCTGGGAGTCTCTGTCGCCTCCTCAAGCTTTTGGCCGCAAAACACACCAAGAGTCAGATCTTCCTGGATTCCGACCAGCTGGAGGCCCTGGGCCCTGTGAAAACCCGTGAACATGTGAAGCCACCCAACCCATTCCATGGTTGATCATGGTTTTTCCATTAAAGATAATATGAAAACACATACTATGTGTAGGGGTATCCCATGGTATTCCCCGTTTTCGGACCATGGAAGTCCCTGAATTGATGGATTGATGTCCTTTTCCAACTTGTTTTACGGCCAATGGGAACACCCTGACCTTTCTATTTTTGCTATTTTCTCCTGTTTTGAGATATGATTACACCAGAGAATGTTGGATGGAAAGTTGTTAAGAACTTGAGTTCGTCAGTTGATTCCCATGGAAAGGGTGTCTTCGATAGCCATGGTCTTGGGATGTCTTGGGACATCCCCACGATTCGAAGGGCGAATCTGACGCATGTATCATGATGATCATGAGGGTCGCCTTGTGGCCCCGTGGCCCAAGGACTTAGACCTGATTTTTGACACCATTCGAGGCAAGACCAAGAGTGTGGCAGTGGTTTTAACACCACACGTCTTGAAGAGGACACAGTCGGACAGAGTCGGACAGAGCTTTTGTATGGCTTGGGTATGCTTGGGTCAACATTTACAACCCTCAAGACTGAAGAGCACCATTGTTGGAAACCCTTACTGGCTGCAATTTCAACCCACATGAAGAGCTTTTTTGTTCTTTCTTGGAGATGTAACATGACCTTTTGATGGTCGGGAAATGATCACACCATGTTTGACCCGTTGTTGACCTGTGGAAAACTTGCTACCACCAACACATCCCCCAGAAGGGACACGTTTCGTTTGTTTTGATGGGAGAGGTATCTCCAAAACCGCCCCTTTAGGATGTGGTGTGCTGGTGAGATTGTGACAGCCTACAAGAATCAAGTCCTGACGGTCCCATTGATGTGTGATGGCTACACCCCTCCGGATGACGAATTTCTGGAGCACCTTGAAGAGGTTTGGACGGCGCAGCAAAGGCAAATCCTGTCGTTCCATGGCATCAGCATGGAAGATGTGCAGCAAGCCTATGTTTCTTGGCAATGGGTCAGCATCCATATGATTAATATGATATTGATGTAATTTAAGAATAAATTTTGGTACTATACGATATGTATCACGTGCATGATTACACTGTGTACAACTGTGTATATATGTATATATATATGTGTATACACATATTTATGCACACACACACACATACACAGAAAGACATAGACTCTTTAAGCACAGCGCACTTCTGGATACCCAAATTTGCACCATACTGAAAGAGATTCTAGACGACCTGACCCCAACAAATGTAGAAAGCCTATATATATCCTATATCAAGTATTTCCAATTGTTCAGGGAATACTTCAATAAAGTTTTTTTCAGAGCTGTGAACCTATCAACCAGTGAGCTTGTTGGACTATCCGGATTCGTGTCACGTTTGATTTCTTGGTTTGTTGTTTCTTTGAAGATGGACTCCAGCAGCTGGACTCAAAACCCCAGGGTCCAATGGACTACCATGGGCCTGCGCTAGCCGCTAGATACGATGATGCCTTCACCAAACTGGGGTTTGCGTAGGATTTGATTCGGGTCACAATCCACTGCGTGCTAGCGGGCCTGATCTTTACATGCATATGTACCAGGGAACCTCCAAATGAGAAGTTATCAAAACCAATTCAAAGTTGGTTTCCCCTAAAGGTTTTAACACATACCAAACCACCATAACCACGACAATCATTATAAACTACGATGATAAACCACCAAGATTTGATCCAAAACACACAACCACTGCCACCGATGCTCGAGGCTTGGCTCTTGCAGCTGGAGTGCTTGGATGTGCATCGCTTTGGAGCAATGGATGAGCTGGAGAACACGGTGGTGGAGCTCCTTGCGCGGGTGAAGGTCACGAACTAATCCCATCCAACGCTTAAACACGCCGCAGAAACCATTGTGAATATAGGGGATGAAACGATATACTCGTAGTTAACATTTGGAACCATAGAATTTGTTCAATATTAAGGAGGGGATGGAAGTAAACCAAATCAACAAAGGTGGAGATGGCAACACGTGGAGTTGTCATTAAAAGGTGGGGATATGAATCATCAGGGACCCCGGCACCCCCCCAGCAAAACCCCCGCCCGGAAGTATGGTAAGGTATGGATAAGGATGAAACAATGGATAAGGGCCCATCAGTGGTGTAACACATTCTTCATGAACGCTTACTTAACGAGGTTTGGTTAAGGGCTGGATAAGGTCTCTGTAAGAGATGTTTTTTTTTTTTAATTTTATTTTTTATTATTTTTATCAATGACATTGAAATTTCATTGTTAGAGCCTTATTAAGAAAAACATTGTTTTGGGGATTGTTGTCCAACCAACAAGACAAAAAACCTTGTTAAACCTTTAATAAGAATAAAACATCCCAAGACCAGTTTTAGCTCCAAAAAAACACGCGACACAACCTTACAAAGATAGAAAAAATGAATAGCACTTTGAACACGTCAAGTCAATTTACTTCTTGTTCTCCTGGCTCTGACATTTTCTGTTTCCACCAGTTAAGATTCCACATTCAAAATACATTCAACACTATTCAAAGAACATATTCAAAACACCAATCCACAACACATGGTCCTATGTATATCTCTCAACATTGGTGTCACCACCAAATTTTAACAACATAGTTTGAAAACACCTTTTAACATTTGATTGCAATACCTTGAACATGAACCACTGTGTGTTTTAAAAGCGATTGTGGACAGAATTTATGGATAGAAATCAGTTTTTTAAGACATATCGAACGATTATAAAATTTCAATACGTTACACAAGCAGCTTATTCCTATTTACCCTCCATTAACGTGACATTTCTCCTGTTCCCGTTCTTTCCCTCCCGTTGTATCCCGTTGTGTCCTTCCCCGTTTTACCCCATCGTGCTCCCCCGTTGTCTCTCCATAGGACCAGGTGCTCCAGGCGGACCTTCAAAATTTTCAGATTTTTTAAGAAGACTTTTTTTTTAGTATAGAAAAAACTCATATCTTTTTAAAATAATCTGAACATATTTTTTTAAATATAAACTTCTTGTCAGTATTGTTTTTCAGTATATAAAAACAAATAGAGATTAGAGCATTTATAATATCGATGTTGAAAAAGCTTTTTCAACGACGCCAAACTTTTTCTGTTCAATCTCTTCCAAAACATTTACCAAACATTTCTCATTTTTTGTGTTAATGTTTGTCTCTTTGGTGTTAATTTTGAAAAATCCCATTGGATAACAGTTAGATAATATTTGGAGAAGATCTGAATAAGGGCTTGATAAGGGGTCTGGAAAAACTGTTTATAAAACAAAAAATGAAAAACACTACGAACCACCATTCAGATCAGAGATGTCAGGTTGCGGTTGAACCCTGTTAGATTTGACACATCCCCAGCCACTAACAATGGCTTATGAACCATCTATTACCACTGGGGTCACCCATCAAGATTGACTCTGAATGCGTTAGTATGACAGTTCATGACATCTTGGGTTGTTTACCGCATTCATTTTGTGAAAGCCCCCCCAAAAAACTACCCCCGGAAGCGGTGCTGCAGATGTTTTGCTATTAAGGCCTTAGTACAAAAGGGGAATTCCAGCCTGTGGTTTTCTTATTAAGCTTCTAATTGCATTCCAAGCTATGGGAATTTCTCAAAATTAGAAGATCAACCTCTTGAAGCAAACTTTTCATATTAAGGCATATTAAGGCCTTATCAGCAAAACAGGCTCTCAAACACCTTTTGTGACGCCATCATTGCTTTCACATGCTTTCACACCAAATAAGGTGGAGCCCCTGAAATCAAGATGAGCCCAGCTGTAGAACTCGTTTTGTTGAGGAAATTCCTAGGACCCGCGGGATTTTCATAGTGCTCTGGCGATTCCCGGCTTCGCCAATCTTCTCAATGTGTTTTCCATGCACTGATCCAAGAACTCTGTAAGACTCCCAGAATTGGTTTCCGTGGAGATTTGCGGGACACTTCCGTAATGATTGGTAAAATGTTCAGGATTTCCTGGCTGTTTCCTGTCATTTTTTTCCCCGAGACAAACCCGGTGCAATTTGAAGGTGCCCATGAAGCTCTTCCGTCAAAGTCCCACCGCTTCGCCTCACTCTGTGCGTGTGAAAGCGCGAATTCTCATCACAGGCTCCGTGCGCGATGGAGCCGCTGGACTGAGACAGCCCTGATTTTTGGATGTTGATTTTCCATGGAATGAGAATAAACCCTGGGATATTTTGTAGGGTTACACAATGTTACACATTCACATTCTGCGACAACTCCCGATCTTTTCAAGATTGACCAGGGTTGCATCAAAGGGGCACCTTCCAGATTCTGTCATCAGGAAGCTTTGGCATCATTGGAGATTTTCCAAATTTTGGCGCAAAAAACCATGCAACGCGAATGTGCCGTAGTTCGGTCCGCCAATGAGCTGTTGGCCTATCGGCCATGGGCCTACTATCTGGTGGTGCTCTTGTCTCGCGGTATGCTTCGAGACCCAGGCGCTTGGGATATAACGGAAATCCGAGCTGAAACACGGTGCGGGAAACACCTGTTTTTACATTTTTTACTGACCAAACAGAAAGGTTTCCTAAGTGTCCGACGAGCTTTTACACATGAACCATTCTGTGAATCAATTTCTGGGTTGTTGATTTTGAACAATTGCCAGGTGTAGTAATTACCTTGACGGTCTTGAAGTTCAGTTTCACTTATTATCGTGAAGTCCCTTTGCTTTTCTGAGCGATCGCTTCCCTTGACATTTATCTGGTTCTCAACAGGTTTCAGCATCTGTTCAAGACCCCCTGGCAAATCATGGACCGCAGGCTTTGCCAAAACTTTGCTCAGCATTCATTTGGAAGGAGAAACCAAAAATCGGCCATTGGAACTGGTGACAGTCAGTGCGGACCCACTCTTCGAGTTTCCCAGCGCCGAGTTCTTCAAGGACTTAGAAGATTTTGGTCTGGGGCTTGACAATCAGGGGGAAGCGCCCTTACCCGTTGAGCTGGGTCCATTTCTCTCGTCCGCCTATCGGGCCTTGCTGAACGTCTTGGCTCTGCCCTTGTCTCCCTTGGGACCCTCAGCTGAATCTTCTGTGGTGGTTTCAAGCGAGGATATATCATGCTAGAACTGCAATGAAAGAAATGGATGGAAATGGCACTTTTACCTGCAAACTGGGAAATCAACCAACCAAGACTGATGCTGATGATGCTGGTTGCTGGTTTTGACATGGTGGCCGCAGTGATTTTTTTGATATTTTTTGGAATTGGGGGGCTCAATGGCTCAGCTACTCACCAGTTTCCTCTGGAAGTGAATGATGGTCCTTTGAAGACGAACTGAGTTTGTTGGGCATGTCTCGAAGTTGCGGTTTACATACCTGTAATGGCTGCCTTAAATAATCCTCAGTTTCTGTCGCATACATCCCTTTGCTTTGGTTGCTGTGTCGGTTAGTTTTAATCGCAGCTCCCTTTCTTAAATCCAGGATCTCCAAGACATTGTTTCATTTTCTAGTTTAATTTTCCCTCAGATTCTCTGGTGCTTTCATATTTTCCATGGTTAGGACCCCTATTGAACTATATTCATGCTGCGTTGTATATCCAGGTATATATTTCCCCGTTTATACATGTACAATATATATATATACATAATATATAACAATATATATATAATATACATGTATAATATACATGTAGAATATATATATATATGTTTCCCAAAATGGTGGTGGGGTAACTCCATTTTGGGAAACCATGGGAAACCATACCCATAAAATGGTCCTAATCAGCAACAGACTCTCCCTGGCCAAGGTTCTGAGGGCCTTCTGGAGGAGCAGGTCTCAGAGATTTGTCGCCGCTTCCGGCGCTACAAGAACCCGATCTATGCCACGGCCCTGGATGATGAAGAGGATTTAAAGGTGAAACCAGGGATGTTTTATGAAATAAACATACCAAGAACTGCTTGTTAACAAAGATCCAACTTTTTGATATACATATGTTTATATATACATTATACATATGGGTTTATCATTGTTTTAGTGGGATGACTTGACTGTGGCGCAGTGGGCTACAATTTTGGTGCAGTTCCACTGATTCGTTCCAGATGTTTGGGGTCGGAGTTCCAGTTGTATACTATGGATCCAAATCTATTTGGAGGTGGCACACCCGTTTAAAAGATATAGCAACCCCCAAAAAGATAAAATAGTATGGACACCTGGAAATTACAGGTGAAACATCCATAACTATTCACTTTGAGAGCCCATATTAAAGGTATAGAGGGATGGGCTTAGTAAAATTTTATTTCACATCTTTTTCAATCTGGGTTTACGCATGAATGGGAGACATGCAAAAATTTACCAATGTGACCCAAGCGTCCTGAAATTATATATGCATTTTCAAACATGGGTACCCAATTCTATGGCAATATATAATGATGTGTCAACTATGATAAACAGGCGGCTTTAAAAGCTACATTTAATTGTATGTAATTGTGATACACAGAAACAATAAACCGTAGTATAAACCGTATCGCACACAAGAGGTCTATTTTTGGGTTTACTCAAAAAGAGCCAACAAAACTGGCTGTAACCAACCAGACTGGGATCTAACGATGACCATGATCGACACCGGAAGCAATAAGAGACAGTATAGCCAAAGGCCAAAGGACCAAGGTGGGGATACATTCCACCAAAATGGTGATTGGATCAAGCAAAGACTAAGCAAAAAACCAAATGTGCCAGATGTGGGGCATTATATGAAAGGGTGGATATATCATCAGTGAACATGTTTTGATTTCGTCAAACATGGGAAGTTTTGTTCCGCTCAGCAGGTGGAGGGGGATGGTGTGGATCCACAGAGCCTGATTGAAGAGAATGGTTCGATGGGCATTTTCACGGACTGCACCGTGAAGAAGCAGGCTGTGAAGAATGGTATAGTTAGGATTCTTTGGTATATTTTTGTCATCTTCCTTTGCTGAAACTGCAATGTTTGGTGACACTTCCGGTTTGTGGGTTGTGAACCTCTATGTTTTCGGTGGAATGCTGGTTTGGTCACCCATGATGTTGAAATAGTTACTGGTTGGTTTGTTTTAGTGAGATTCCTGATATCACAAGCATCCCCCAGGCCTTTTCTCGAGCAAAAAAGTCTTTGACATGGACTGAGACCGGGAACATGATTGAAAGTCGCGAAGGTCATATGAATGACAATATCTTGAATCAAACCAACCGGCAGAAGAGGGAGAGACTATCCACTGGCAGTGCTGATAGTCGCGAATCAGAGTGGCAGGTGGGGGCCCAAATCCTGGTGAATGTGTTAAATGTATTACTTGTTACTGGGCGTTATAGCTGTCATACTGTCATGCCACCAGGTCTACTGCGGATTATTGAACTTAAACCATTGGTATATATTGGTATCGATGGTTCTTTGTCCCACCATTGAATTTCTTGGGGGTTTATTGTGTCCTATTCTTGGACCCCTCCAGGTGTTCCAGATTGTGGAGGAACTCCCCTCGGAGAGCTGGAACCCTGATGTGCCGAGCACTTTGCCTCTTGGCTTTGCGTTGATGGGAAAGTCCCAGGAGTGCGGGAAGCGGTCCTAGTCTGCTCGTTTTTTTTTTTTAGATCCTTATTATGCCCATCCCAGGTCTTCAAAGCGTGACCTCGATTCATGGAATCCGGATTGGCAGGTCAACATCTCTCTTCAATGTATCCGTGAAGACCAGGATGACAATTTGGTGGAGATATGAGCATGGAATCAAATTATAGATCTGATCGTCCAAAGACTTGGGCCCTCAGAATTGATTGATTTGGAGACGTTTTTTCATGTTTTGTCTATATAAAAGATTGGAGCGCAACTCATGTCTTAGACAGGTTGCCAAGTATCACCTGGAGGTTTAAGATTCTTCGACTGCAGCCCAACCCGGGAGGGTTTGGCGGTGGTCGCAGTGACTCCACGCAGGATTTCATTGATCTGAGTCGGGTCGAACAATTTTCCACGGACGCTTTGACGGGCGTTTGTGCTGTGTGAGGATTGAAGTCACTTTTTGATTGGAAAGTGTCAGTCTCTATATTATGTATATGGTGTATGTATATGGTGTATGTATATGTGTATGTGTATGGTGTATGTATATGGTGTATGTGTATGTGTATGTATATGTATATGTATATATGTATATATATATATACACATAATGTGGGATTACTGCACTCAAGAGGTTTGAAACTTGGGTTGTGTTTGTAGGGTGTTGAAGATTTGACAGGCCAGATCTTAGGCTGTGGAGTTGGTGGTCGACCGGCAGTCGAGTCGAACCGCGCCGGTTATGTTTGGTTTTCCGAACCGCATACCACGATGGTTTAGGCGACCAGGAACTTTGGGTTGCAGGCCAATCTTAGATACAATGTTACTGCAAAAGATAGGACAGCCAAAAAGCACAGCTAATCAGATCAAATCAGATCAACATGGTAGGGAATCGCACTTTTCGATCGTTGTTTTGTTTGAGCATCGATTTAGTCCATCGAAAAACTTCAATCCTTCCGACCCAGTGGGCTCAGGCATGGAAGGCAAATCTGCATCCCCGAAGATAGGGACCGGGTTGCTTCGGTATAAATGCCGCTCCATGTTTTTTCTTTTAAGCGTTTGTCCACGTGAGTGTGTCGAATGCACCGGAGTTGGCGAGAAAAATACGGAAAAGCACAGCCGCTGCGGGGATTCAGCGGAGCTTTTTTTTTTTTTTTACCACATTTGGATTTCACATATTTTTCCTGACGAAATATGTGACGCGTTTGCATCCCCTCTCCTCCGAGATCATCGAGCCAGCCGAGGCACATGGGGTGCAGCCCATGTTAGAGACTTTTAGAAGAAGCAGCCCGCGAAGCACGGTGGGAGGCGCACCACGATGATCCCGGTGGTGACTGGCAACGGTCAGGGGTGGGTCAGGATGGGCCAGCAGTGAAGTCTCTCAAAATCCCAGCAATGAAGGAACATGTACCGGGGAAACCTCTATATTTAATGATGTTAATCGGGAAACCGGGGAAACCCATTTCTATAAAAAAGATCCCAAGACGACCTTGAGGGCCATGATGTCAGGTGGAAGTACTGGGCCATGGGCCAGTGAATCCCGCATGAGGCCGGGGCCGGATCTTGACACCTGGTGTACACATGTGTCAATCCTGTCCGGAACAATTGAATGGGTTGAGACTCAAACTCGCACAAAGTCGTGGATTTTGGAAGGGAGTTTACCAACCAATAGGGATCCAATCAATAGGGATGCCATATATTTCTGCCAGCAACTTGTCAGGCTCGACCAGAAGTCCCCCGAGGTCTCGAGGGTTCATGGAGATGTTCAGAGATGAATCAAAGAGCTGTCTTCAATCGAAGAGCCGCCGTGTTTTGCAGGGGACTTTGGTGTCTGGCTCTCAGCATGGCAGGTGACCAGCTTCATGTTCAGCTTAGCTGCCGAGTGCCACGGCTCAAGACGATTTTTTAAGGCCACAGCGGCCACAGCGGCCACAGCGGCCACAGCGGCCACGGCGGTGGTCGGATGGCACGGCTCTGCCGGCCTATGCTACTGCTATGGACCACGTATGGCCTCACTTTCCTTTGGACTGGCGTGTCCCGTCCTGGCGCTGTGAGGAGAAAGTGGAGACAAGTTGGAAGACAGTACAAGGTGACCCTGGAGTCAGAGGAAGGACAGGTGACTTTTGATTGTCCGGAAGATTCCTATCTCTTGGGACATGCAGAAGAAGAGGGCATTGAAATGACCAGCTTTTGTCGCTACGGCAACTGTGCCGCCTGCATCGGCAAGGTGCTGTCCGGCAGTGTGGATCAAAGCGAACAGATGTTTCTGTCAGAGGAGGAACTGGAGCAGGGATACATTGTCACCTGTGTGGGCTATCCCACTTCGGATGTGATCATCCGAACTGGTTGTCGGGATGAAGTGATTGAGGAGAAATGCTGCTTCAGCACGCCTTTGTGCGATTGGTGCCCCTACCAGGGAGTTGAGGGTGACCGTCCCAAGAAGCGTGGTCAACCCGGGCTGGGATGAGAGACAACAGCGACAAGATGTGAAAAGCGTGATGATGGCAGTGGCTTCAAGGATACTTGTGTCTCAATCCAGTTGTTGATGGATGACATTCATCAACTGCTCCCCTTGCATGGCGGTTTCTGAATAATTATTGAATTTTGGGAGGACTCCCACAGACCCACAAACACAGTTTCAGTTGGGGTGGAACTGCCAACCAGAGCATGAACTTTGCCAAACTCTGTGAGCTGCTCTTGCGTTTGTGAAAAGGTGCTGCAAGAATTGCAGTCTTCAGAATACTTTGGCACCACTTGGAGGATGCCACGAATCATAACTGGTTTTCATAACCCTCGTAGTCGCAAGCCTTATAGGGTTAGCCATGGTCCCCGCAAAAACTCACCAGTTTCGAACTCGACTCGTTGAGGTTCAGTTACCCTCAGAATCATGTTGGGTCATGTCAACTGGAATTGCGGGGGTCCGAGAATATCCAAAAAGCAGGGATATTTCATGATATTTCATGATATTTCATGATATTTCATGATATGTCAGTATATTTCATGATATGTCAGTATATTTCATGATTTCTATGGTTTCATGGTATTTCATGGCTGTTAAAAGGTGGTGTTGCTGCCACAGAACCCAGCGGTTACGTCCCAGGCCTACAGAGGTTCCGGTGCCGTCGGAGTCCTGGACATGTCGGACATGGGGGTACCCCAAATCATCCAAAAGTAGACCGTTCTGGCATTGAATCCCATGGTGATTTGGGGATCCTCCTGAAGCGAAACTTGCATTTTCAGCATCCAAAAGTCCACCCAGAATCGAGGCCGGGTGCTCCGATTGGACCTCAGGGGGTTGTGGGAGCTATTTTTTTGGTGCCAACAAGGATTTATTAGTGTTACTATAGTGTTATTACTGTTACTATAGTGTTTATTAGTGTTTATCAGATATTTATGGAATAATAAAATATGTTATTAGTTGTTACTGTATGTAGTGGTAACCAGCCAGATCGGAATGGTGGTGGCATGCTTTAACTACTGATCCGAGCGGTTGGTGGGGATATCCTTGAACTGTTTAACTGGACAGTGCAGACGATCCTCTCTGCATTCATGGCTTGTGCTATTTATTTATCTATTTATTTATTTATGATATATCAATATATCAATATCAATATATCAATATCAACATATAGACATATATATATATATATATAAAATTTGTATATAAATACGTATATATATATATATATATACAAATTATATATATATATATACACAAATTACACACACACACATATATATATCATGATATATCATGATTAATCATGATTCATCTGTGCTCCGAGGCCGGAGGTGGTTGCGGCTGCCGAATTCCATCACCGAAGGTGGGGACACACATAGAAATGGCCATGAGAGGCCTATGGCTTGTGGCACCCCTCCATGGGTTTAGGTGAAAACGTCCGTATTCTACAACTATCATCAACTATCCAAAGGTCGTAGGTAGGTGGCAATGTTGATTCCCCGGTTGAACTGGTTGGAGTGAGACACTTGGAACTGTTCAGCTCTGCTAAACCATCTGCAGGTTGCAACTGCATGGTGGTGTGAGTGCTCTCGAGTTGCGAACTTGGCCAAAGAGTTTGGTGGAAAGCATGCCATCCTAGCGAACATCACGACAAAATGCTGACAAATGGACTTTCATCATCTTTCCTATGCCGCCCCAGATCCGGGAAATCTTAGGTTTTGACCCACCCCCAAATACATTTGCTTGCATGCAAATCTGCCCAACAGTGAGTTTAGAGGGAGAGACAACCAGGGAAGGCACATCATTCCTTTGACTTCACATTCTTAGCGAGTCTATACCTGTGAAGCATGTGAAGCTCATCCCAGCTCATCACCATGTTTAGGACGGCTTGACATCAAACACATGTCTTTGGCTTATACACTGTACATAGGACATTAATAATTCAGTATATAATACACACACACATAGACTATCATAGAATCAGGGTATCATACATATTACACATACTGACAAACATATATACACATACTGACAATGACGAACATGACAATGATTTAGTAACAACGAATAGCAACCGCAACAATGGTACTTGTAACATCTTGTAACACTGATCCACATAAGAATCATAAAAAGAATGTAACACAAGTTGCATCCCAAGGCCGGAACGGATGAGAGCCATCACTGTCTTTCGCCACAGGCGTCACACGGTGTGACCCGAACTCACCACCCTGTGGAAACACCAAGTGGGGCATTTTTCATCGCATGTTCAGAGGGGTTTACACATCAGCAAGCCGTTTTTTTTTGGGTCACTTGGACGTGGAGCAGTTTCTAGTTGCGTTGTACTGTGCCAAGCTGAGACGGCCCAGATCTTCAAGAAGTGAAGCAGTAGATGAAATTATGGGATGGCAATCCAAGTTGAGGGTGTTCTACTTTGATCATTTTGATCAGCCGCCATAGGCACATTTTCTTTCCAGCCTTGGCACCTAGATGAAGACCTTGATGGCAGGCTGGAGAAAAGGCGCGAGAAGGGCCTTCCAACCCCCACGGACTACAACAAACACCAGGCTGCGACAAAGATCCAGGCACAGCTTTGGGAACAGATGGGGTTCTCTGAAAACGGAAAAACACCACCATTTTTCCATCCATTTATCCACTGGTTAATATCATTTTCCCCATTCAATTGTCATTTTGGGGGGTTCTACAAAGGGTATACCCTTTGTCTCACACATCCAGATAGTTGTGATGTTTTGGCGAGCCATTCCAGATGGCGACGTTGAAGTCTGCAGATCCTGACAACAAAATGGTTCCTCAAACTGTCGGCCAGCTATGACAATATGGGGATGGGTCAGAACCTATAGTATTACCATGTTTTGGGGGAATAAACATCCATAAACCAACTTAGGGTACCATCCGGGTACCAGGGTTTTGATTCATAGCCATATGATACCTCCCAGTTCGAAGTTTCCAGGCCCGAATCCGTGGCTACTTGGTGCGCCAGTGGACCTTCGAGGCCATTGCTATAGAAAAATAGGATGGCTCCTCTTGGGAGTTTTTGACAGGGGCTTTCTCAGTGGCTTGGGTTGTGCCATACGTCTTTTTTGGCGAATGATGGGAAAATTTACATGAAAGCCCTATATTTGATGGTAAAAACCATGGTTTCCTGTAGATTTTCCCTTAAACCAATCCAATGAACATCCAATTGGCCACCAATTTTCAGGTCGTATCTCCAGGTCCCAGGATTTTCGGCCACGGGGAGGAACTTGCTCGGGAGATGCGACGCCAAAGAGCTTTGGAGGACACCCAATGAGACACCGGGGGATGCAGCTGGGCGGGTAGAATCACACCAGGATGGGGCAACCTACTATGCCTGCATCCATACACATCATAATACGTACACACACACATGCACATCATATGCACATCATATGCACATCATATGCACATCATATGCACATGACATACGCAACATATAGAGCAAAGTGTTTAGATGTCTTTCGGGCAATGATCTCGGGGATACTAGGACGATGGCATGGCAGCCGAACATATGATTTTCCATCCTGTTTCAACAGCGGCTGGTTTAGGATGTTTGGTACAAAGAGATTGAAATACAAGGGATTTCTAGGTACACTACTACACTACATGGATTGTGGCCACAAGTCTTTTTCGATGTTTAATCCAATCGACTTACAAACATTTTTCCATAGAGTCTGATACCAAAAGTCCCGCAGCTGTGCCCTATCAAAGGGCCACTTGTTTTGCTACACATGGCTTTCTTTAAGCTGCATCTTTTGCTGGGTGCCTGCTGGGCACTGCCAGCTGTTTCTCTCACAGTGCCTTCGAAAGCCCTGTGGTTTCAACAGAAGGTCAGTCATTTTTCTGCTTCGAATGCCACGTATCTGCAGAGATATTACATGGACGACAAGCACTGGGCCGGCCCCGGCTCTCCGATCTTTGTGATCATGGGAGGTGAGGGCTTCAACAAATGTATGCGGCCAAGAACAGCATTTTCCCACCATTTTTTCCGTGATGTTTGTCCATTTATCTAGGTATTTCGGGCCAAATGCCATCCGTGGCAGCTGTCTCTGCCCTGGCGACCCCCAGAAGTTGGGACCGGCCCTGAGGCGAGGGGGGCATCAGCCCGGAGACGGGCATCTTCTATCCCTGGGTCTGCGAGGTCCTGGCGCGGCAGTTTGGCGGCCTCGTACTGGAGCCAGAGCACCGCTTCTATGGCGAGTCCCTGCCCTATGGCCCGGCCTCCTATGAGGCAGAGCACCTGAAAGGGGCCACTTGGAGTTTGGAAGATGGAGATGGCTCAAAATTTGGACCATTAAAAAAAACATTGGTTTTTGATAGTTATTTTAGTTTGCTTTTGGCTCGTGATTTCATCTTTCATTTTTTTGGGTATGAGATAAACCCTGATGAAGAAATGCTCCTACGGGGGCAGGGGCGTAGGATGGAGGAAAAATCAATGAATTTTCGCTCTGCATATGCGGTTTTCCAGGTACTTGTAGTCAGCAAACTCTTTACCACTATATATATATAGACTATATATATATATAGACTATATATATATATTATGTTTTTAACTGTATGTATATTTATACACATATTTAGGTACAACTAAAAAACCACACATACAGGATCATATAGGTGTGTAGTGGTGTGTATAATCTAATCCTATATTATTTATACGATCCATTATAAATATATTATATCCATTTCGTCCATTTCCCGCATCTTGAGTCTTGGACTGGAACCCAAGGCGATGACTTCGCAGGAGGCGCTGGCCGACGCGGCAGAGCTGATCCGCAGCACTCAGCTGGCGCGGAATTGCACAGTAACGGGCACCAGAGGCTATTGCCCCGTCCTTGTGATTGGAGGCTCCTACCCGGGTTTCCTGGCTGCGATGATGAGAATCAGATATCCAGCAGTGGTGGATATGGCCTATGCCTCCTCGGCTCCTCTGAAATTTTATTCTCAGGAGGTGCAAGTCGCTGTATGTTACTGTATGTTCCATTTTTCCGAAGATTTTGGGAGGGTTTAGACATCAGGTTTTGGTGGTGAGAGAGTGGTTAATGTCCCAAAGTCATATTTACCGGAGGAATCGTTTTTTACCCCCAACTACTCCGTCAAGTGGATATCACCTGTTCCGTGGTTACAATCGTTTGGTGGTAGAGATATCTTCTTGAAAACTAACACAGAATCCTCAAGATTGGAGTGCGGAAGGTGCTCTTCGATGCTTTCCTTGGACATTGGCAATTTTTTCAGCCTGGCAGGTGGGCCAGTACGCCTACTACGCCAAGGTCACCGAGTCGGCCGAGAAGTCCATGAAGGGCTGTGCAGCTGCGGTGCTGCAGGCGTTTCAGAAGATGATGGACTTCTTTCAAACAGCCAACAGCAGCCGGATTGTGGCAAATTGGGGGTTTCATTGATGGTAAATGGATGTACTGTAAATAGGCAAATTGGTGGTTTATGGGATTTCAACTGGCAACACATTTTCCATGATTATGGTTGGTTTTGCGGAGCAAATGGGTTTTGACGCACAGAAACTGGGATTTAATGGGTTTAACGGTTTAACAAACAGAATTGGGGGTGTAACCAGTAAAGGATGGGGACTTAATGGGATTTCACCGATATAAGATTGGTAGTAAAGTCAACAACATCCAACTTAACAATTGGATTTAGAATGATTTAAATAATCAAACATGGCCTTTTTTTAACCAACATGGGGATGATGTGCATGATGATGAGGATTATGGATGGGCATGTGGCACAGATGGCCATGGTTCGAAATTCTGAACTCCCAAGAAAGATCAAGAATGGATGTTTTAGTAAGTTTAGTACCACACATGGCCAATTTCGATCTTTTGTTCTTTGTTTTATATTGGCCAATCTTTGAGGCAGCCAGATCGCCCAGCAGTTTTCGGTTTGCGAGCCAGTGTCGCAGCCGGCCGACCTGGCAGACAATCTCTTATTCCTGGCTGAGCAGATCTTTGCGAACCTCAACATGGCCAACTATCCACCCAACAGCAACACAGGTGCGGGACCCTGGTGTGAGCCAGAATCAGTGAACGGACGAAAACATCAAGCATCTTTTGAAGAACATGGTGGTTTCTTGTGGGTGTACCACTATTTATATGCCACCTTTCTAGTAGGAGTCATCACTGCGAATGGCTGAGATCCCACTATTCGACCAGTAATTCGGAATCTTTCATAGTCCGCACCCAAGAGTTAGCGATGTGAACAAAGATCGATCAAACATTGGCTCTACATAATATATCATAATCTCATCCAGGGTCCCTTTTGGGACCATCCCTGGGAGATCTGGTATTGTATTGTTCCTGCTACCGGTACCCCCAAAGGCCAAAGGGTTGACCAATCGGCAAAATTTCGCTGGAGGCCTTCGTCGAACTTGTGGCAGCTTCATCGCAGCTGCGGGCCACAGGGAACTGGAGGCCTTCCGCGACTTGTTCCTACAAGAGACGAGGCATGGCCGAAAAAACGGAGAAGTTGCAAGGGAGCCACTGGCCTAAAAAAGGGGGCCAAAGAGGTTTGAGGCCAATATATATATATATATGTATAATAATATATATATAGGACACTGAGTTGTTTTGAATGCGAACATGTGGGTTGGCCCAACCCGCACAAAAGGGCAGCCCAAGGATAAGCATGGTTCGTTCACCCGCTGATGTAGTATTCCCACATAATCCCACATATATAGTCAGATATACATTTACAGTTTACAGTATATGATAATACCACATACATCATCAGATATACATGTATAATATTACACACTATATTTATTGATGGCTTTATTATTACTATTATTCTTGTTATTATAATTATTATTCTTATTGCTATTATTCTTGTTAATATGGTGATGATTATTTTTTGATTATTGTTATTAATGTTATTATTATCGTTGTCGGTGTGGTTGTGGTTGTAGTAGTTGTAGTTGTAGTAGTTGTAGTAGTTGTAGTAGTTGTAGTAGTTGTAGTAGTTGTAGTAGTGTAGTTGTAGTAGTTGTAGTAGTTGTAGTAGTTGTAGTAGTTGTAGTAGTTGTAGTAGCTGTAGTAGTTGTAGTAGTTGTAGTAGTTGTAGTAGTTGTAGTAATTGTAGTAGTTGTAGTAGTTGTAGTAGTAGTAGTAGTAGGAGGTAGTATTATTCTATCACTTCCAATTCCGGGGTTGCGCACCATGCCCCCTGTGAGTTCGCAACACACTGGCCTGCAGAGCGGCCGAGCTCACCTGGGCTTTATGAATCAACCTCTGAGTCGCAGCACCTGTCTGGATGCCCGGTTTGGGTGACCGGGTGACCCGTTTGGCGGTTGGAAAGGAAGGGATTTAGATGTTCACAGCCTATCACAGCCTGATATTTGGATGATAGAATGCCCTTGTCTGTAGCTAGGAAAGTCTTTCCGCAATTGGCAACATGACCACTATTGCTGGGCCCCCTGTCGTGGCTGAACATACACCCGAACTCACTTTCCGAACCGCAGCTTCCATCGAAAGGGTTCTTGAAGTAAATCCACACTTCCATGCGATTCCAGGTGACTTGGGGGATTTGACCCAACTATCTCCAACTATCTCCAGTGCTTTACTTGACTCATCGGATTCTCATCTCAGTTTTCACATTTCCCACAATTTCTCATATTTTCCACTATTTTTCCATTCTTCTCATTATTGTTTCATGTTTTTTTCCATGATTTTCCATGATTTCCTGGATTTCCAACACATATTCCACATTTTTTCCTGGCATCTGGGTGTGCTGTGTTGCCCAGGTTTCAACGTCTCAGCACACCTCCCAGCCGGCGAGTCGGCCACTGCCAGATGTGGAGACTGGTCTGGCTGCGGCTACGGCCGTGACGGAGAGATGTGGCTTGGGTTTACCACATGGGACCCAAAAAGATGCCCCAAAAAAACGAATCCAGGATGGTATACAGATGTATACAATAGATGATGTGATTTGTCCTGAATTTTCAGCTTTCCAACGTTTATTTCCAGCGTTTATCTTTTGGGGGGGTGCTAGATACGATCTTTGGCATGGTTGCTCCAGTCTACTGAAGGTGTGAAGAGGGTACCAGATCCAGTGGTTAATCATCATGTTCCCCAAAAAATGGCACTACGCGGCAATTCGTTGCGGCATACCGGCCACTCTTTTGGCAAACTAATACAACCTCTTCAATCCCCATATTTTCTTGTTTCCCAATTTTTGGTGGTCAACCATTTATGGCAAAATCCACATGATCTTAATGATCTTAAATTCCAAGTTGAATGGTTTAGATTCCAACAGCACGAAGCCATACTGTACCTCGCAGTGATTGGAACCATAGACGTCCTTTTCCCACTGCTTGATTAATAGAGGCTTCCCCCATTAAAAAAAAACTTTATTGGTAAATGAATGTAGATGATCATTAATGGTATACGAGTCACCTGCCCCGCAACATATTTCCGAAAACATCCAAAACGTCTCGTCGTGACTCGCTCAGGTGGGACTTCCAAACCTGTAGCTTTGAGGTGGAACACATTGGTTTCGGAAGCGAAGAGCAGATGTTTCCGTCGCATCCATGGACCATGGAATGGCTGAAGGAGTGAACTGCTCGGTGGTTCATGGTGAAACAGTCACACACACACACATCTATATTATATACTTAATATACGGTATGTTTTGTAATTATATAAATATGATTTATAATGATACAATACACTGTACATATATGGTTTACAGTCCATACATGTATAATTAATATAAATATACGTATACACATACACACATACACACACACATATATATATATATGCATGTATATATATATATGCATGTATATATATATATATGCATATATATATTTATATATATCCATTGGATGTTTTTCACGATGATGATGATGATGATGATGATGATGATGATGATGATGATGGACTCTCTTATGGGAAGCTCCCCAGAAGCCAGGAGCACTGCATGAAGCGCTTCGCAGTGCGTCCGCAGCCGAAAAGTCTGGTGGATCTCTGGGGCTTTGATGAGGCAACTCTGGTGAGTTCCACCTCGCGGATTTTGTTTGTGAATGGCTTGAACGATGGTTGGTCCGTGGGCGGCATCCTGCAGGATCTTTCCAAAGAGAGACTTGGAATTGGAAAATTGGAGTGGTTGATCTTAGTTGATCTTCATAAATTATCATCAATTTGGGTGTCAACAGAGGACCCAAAGACTTGTTCTGCGACGCAGCTAGCGATGACCCGTACCAAGCTCAGGCCAAGGCACCTTTTCCAGCTCCAAAAGACGTCTGCAGATGGCGGGAGAAACCAAAATTTGGACGCAGAATTCTTTGTAGATTGTACCCATTGGTGTACATCATGTACATCCCCATTTAAGGTTGGATAGATGATGTGGGTGTACATCCCCATTTAAGGTTGGATAATGTTATATATATATAATTATATATAATTATATTAATATATATGATGTGAAAATATGTGAAACCTGTTTGGTCCATCGAAGTTGGGTTGTCAAGCTCCAATTGATGTCCCAGGAAAGGCTTGATCGCCATTAACTTGCCCAATGGTGCGCACCATAGCGAGTTGTCCCATGGAGGGAAGGAGACCGCAGAGGTTCGACAGGTACACCAGCAGATTTTGGCCATCGTTGGTCAGTGGTTGGAGGAGATTAAGCATCCGAAGATGCTGAGGATCATAGCTTGAGGTTTGGGTCAAAATTGAAGATCAACCCATGGAGATCCATGGAGTGTTTGGTGTTTCATCCAACTTTTGGGGTACAACCTCAATTTTGACCCATAGAAAGGTGATATGCTGGTTCTTTTCTGGCATTATCCGGAAGATGTGAACAGTGGGGCAACCAATGAAAGAAGTGTTGCCAAGATGGTCGATTTTAGTACCTGGTACTGTCCCGAAGTGGAAATTTCCACTGGGGATTGCTGAACGGTTTTGAGCGCAAGTTGAACCATGTTGAACCCCTTTTACACATTTTTGCACAACTCTTGAACACATTCTGAACGCCTTTTGAAGACCTTCTGGACGCATTTTGAACACCTTTCATCCAACATGGTTGGCAAACCGTGAAAGCCATTCTCAGTGATAATTTTTGTCATTTTGTGGAAATTCCACAACTGGCAGTGCCATTTTCCCTCCAACATGTAGCAATTGTTGGCGACAGTGGCAAAGTACACTGATGTTTTGGATGGCGCTGAAAGTTGGAGGGTGGAGCCAGGTCGCCGATGATGAGACTCGACCATCTGGATCCCCTAGCAGTGATGATACGTAGATCAGTAGATGATGGCAGATTGTGCATGATATAAGGTACTGTAATCAAAAATGAAAGTTGAGTTAATTTAAGTTGATTTAATTTAAGTTGATATACGTGTATATTGTATATTTGTATATATAGAAATATATACAAGTTCCTTTCACTTTTGGGATGATGATTCCCTGGTCATTCCGGGGATGGCGGCACCTCAGAAAGGAGTTTTTTTTCAAGCGATCCTGCAAGGTCCTGGTATGGATCAAAGATCAGACAGACGATGTTGTTGGGAACCGCTTTAATTTTTAAAGGCATTGTTGTTGGTGCTCAAAGGATCTGATCGTTTTTTTAGGTCTAGGTATTTATAATGTGTTGTAGCGTTCTAATCGTTGGAGTACCAGATGGCATGACCATATTTATCCATATGTTGCTGCTGTTTGGTTCTCCACACTGATGGCCAGGAGTCTCCAGCTGAAGAAGGCGGGTGTTTTGTTGTCTGCGTAAGAATATGTACATATCATATTATTTAAATATATATATATATATATATTTGTTCTATGCATGTACAGTATATACCTCTGGCATTCTTTCGCTACACAAAATACAGACCACACATCGGTGAACTTATCGCAATTTGGGTCTGTTTCAGGTTGGTGAAATCACCCAATTTGGTACAGCACTGGTACAGGTGGTACCATTAATTATTTTTCCGATCGCAGGCATTCTCGATGGCAAGCGAAAGGCAGCTTTTAAAGCAGAATCCCAAGCGGGGTAGGTGTTATGTTACTCGCAGATGGTATGCTTCATTGGTAGTTCGTGTCTTCAAAGTCTTCTCTACAGGTCTTTACATTTTCGAGTTTTGCAGGTCTGAACATGAACTTTTTTTTTGGTGGCTGTGTAGTTAAATAACCACTCCTCACACGTCATAAATAGAGGATGACAGATTGTGGTTTGAAAAAGAACAGTGCACCTGGCTGGGAGACATTTTGAGCAGTCGCTGCAAGACACTCCTGTTGATGATTAGTTCGGGGGTTACCCTACCCAATATTTGTGTGTATATATATATATACATACATATGTATATATATATACACATACATATACATATATATATATAATTATATATACATTTTCATATATATATATATATACACATAATTATATCCCTCGTTTTTCTGAGGGCCTTTTCAAAGCCAGTCCGTCAGTTTTGGGCCGAACCGAGGTGATTTATGCCGCTCGGCGAGCCTTTGTCCAGCCTCGGGCCCCAGCGGCTTTAGCTGGCTATGAAGAAAGGCATACGTGCACATAACATGTGTATTATGAAATTTCAGACGTCATATATATATATATACATATTTATATGTATTCACAAAGATATGTATGCCACATTTTTGCCGGCATCCTCAGTTTTTGATCATTTTCATGGCTTCACTTCCGTGTTTTTGATCTTTTTGGCAGTGCAGGTACAATGCTGCTGTGTGCATTCAGAAGGTCGTCAGAGGAACTATCGTCAGGATGAGACTCGAGAGGCCTTGGGCTGGGGCTTGGCCAAAAATCATTCAACAGTTGTGATGCACACGATCTGCTTTCCAGAGACTTCATGAAGTCTTTGAATAGTCCTAATGTATCCTAATGTTGGGCAGAATGGGAAGGCGAGATCGGTTCTTTTTTGACCTTGAGTGGCATTCGTTTCGGTTAATCTCCAGTTTATGTATACAGGCATAACAAGCTACTGTATGCTAAGTTGGACACATATTTGATTGTCTGGGTATATCCAAAAAATTGGCCACCAAATCGATCCACACAATGAATGGATCGATCGCCTTTCCAACATCTATAGAATCCGTACCTTAGACTTGGATGCTATCCTTAGATGGTAAGAAAAACACCAAAAACATCAAAAAAATCAAACAATCAAGAAAACACATGAAAGACCCATGGTTTCCTGTCCCTTCTCGATATCTCCGTGGAAGCGCTTGTCAGGCGGATCCAGGAAATTGCAGAGCAGGCGGCGTTGGAACAGGTGGGGTTGGCTGGAGCTGATAGTGCTGCTATTTGTTGCTCCGTTTTTTTTTTTAATATTCAAATTTTATTATAGTAGTGTTTCTATGTGGTTTTAGAATGTTTTAGATTAGGTACACCTGCAGAAAGAAAAGCTCTGATTCTTGTTTGTTGTGCTTTTAAGTTTGTGCAGATTGGAGGCAACACCAAAAACTCAGCGTGCGACCGGATCGAAATCTTAGATCTTTACATCCGAGGCGGAGAAAGAAAAAACGGAGCCTCCTCTGCCGAGACCAGCAGAAATGGTGCCCTTCAGGCCATGCTGCCAAGCACAAGCTGACGAGATTTGTTTTGGCAAACAATCTGCTAGGCCATACTACGAGCAGCACTTCTGTGCTCTTGGTCCCAAGCATCTGCAGGCATTGAAAGTCTGAAGTGCCGGATACACTCGACATATCTCAACATAATCTCGACTCTGGACGTCAGATACGTTTCTTGTTCAGATCTTGTCACTGCTTCATCAATGTTGTTTATCCTTTTGTACCAGTGAATGTTTGACCGGGCTGCCAAAACTTGTATGCGAAGTTCGAAGTTGCGAAAGTCGACCCAGAGCCCAGGAGTGTTTGGTGCCTAGTTGGGGCCTAGTTGTTATGCGAGAGGCATGTGTGCACGAACACAAGACTTGCGTACAAGCAACTGCTTCCTCGATAAGGCAGTTGCCACAAAACCCAAAGCTGCGGTTTCTTTAGAACAATGCCAGCGATTGAAGAGTTGGCAGCATACTTCAGATATATCCAACAACAGACAAAAGACAAGAATGGGCATGATTGGTTACAGATGAACGTAGAGCATATACTATTCAAGTCTAAAGGAAGGAAATCCGGCAAACCCGATCTTATATAGATTCAGATGCCCTTGACACATTAGTGAAGCAGGTCCGAAGCTGAAACGTTGTGTTTAGACTCCGCATGTTTGAGGTGGAAGAGCCAACCCCAAAACCTCTGCCGAGACCAGCAGAAATGGTGCCCTTCAGGCCATGCTGCCAAGCACAAGCTGACGAGATTTGTTTTGGCAAACAATCTGCTAGGCCATACTACGAGCAGCACTTCTGTGCTCTTGGTCCCAAGCATCTGGAGGCATTGAAAGTATGAAGTGCCGGATACACTCGACATATCTCAACATAATCTTGACTCTGGACGTCAGATACGTTTCTTGTTCAGATCTTGTCACTGCTTCATCAATGTTGTTTATCCTTCTGTACCAGTGAATGTTTGACCGGGCTGCCAGAACTTGTACGCGAAGTTCGAAGTTGCGAAAGTCGACCCAGAGCCCAGGAGTGTTTGGTGCCTAGTTGGGGCCTAGTTGTTATGCGAGAGGCATGTGTGCACGAACACAAGACTTGCGTACAAGCAACTGCTTCCTCGATAAGGCAGTTGCCACAAAACCAAAAGCTGCGGTTTCTTTAGAACAATGCCAGCGATTGAAGAGTTGGCAGCATACTTCAGATATATCCAACAACAGACAAAAGACAAGAATGGGCATGATTGGTTACAGATGAACGTAGAGCATATACTATTCAAGTCTAAAGGAAGGAAATCCGGCAAACCCGATCTTATATAGATTCAGATGCCCTTGACACATTAGTGAAGCAGGTCCGAAGCTGAAACATTGTGTTTAGACTCCGCATGTTTGAGGTGGAAGAGCCAACCCCAAAACCTCTGCCGAGACCAGCAGAAATGGTGCCCTTCAGGCCATGCTGCCAAGCACAAGCTGACGAGATTTGTTTTGGCAAACAATCTGCTAGGCCATACTACGAGCAGCACTTCTGTGCTCTTGGTCCCAAGCATCTGGAGGCATTGAAAGTATGAAGTGCCGGATACACTCGACATATCTCAACATAATCTTGACTCTGGACGTCAGATACGTTTCTTGTTCAGATCTTGTCACTGCTTCATCAATGTTGTTTATCCTTCTGTACCAGTGAATGTTTGACCGGGCTGCCAGAACTTGTACGCGAAGTTCGAAGTTGCGAAAGTCGACCCAGAGCCCAGGAGTGTTTGGTGCCTAGTTGGGGCCTAGTTGTTATGCGAGAGGCATGTGTGCACGAACACAAGACTTGCGTACAAGCAACTGCTTCCTCGATAAGGCAGTTGCCACAAAACCAAAAGCTGCGGTTTTTTTAGAACAATGCCAGCGATTGAAGAGTTGGCAGCATACTTCAGATATATCCAACAACAGACAAAAGACGAGAATGGGCATGATTGGTTACATGCAGATGAACGTAGAGCATATACTATTCAAGTCTAAAGGAAGGAAATCCGGCAAACCCGATCTTATATAGATTCAGATGCCCTTGACACATTAGTGAAGCAGGTCCGAAGCTGAAACATTGTGTTTAGACTCCGCATGTTTGAGGTGGAAGAGCCAACCCCAAAACCTCTGCCGAGACCAGCAGAAATGGTGCCCTTCAGGCCATGCTGCCAAGCACAAGCTGACGAGATTTGTTTTGGCAAACAATCTGCTAGGCCATACTACGAGCAGCACTTCTGTGCTCTTGGTCCCAAGCATCTGGAGGCATTGAAAGTATGAAGTGCCGGATACACTCGACATATCTCAACATAATCTTGACTCTGGACGTCAGATACGTTTCTTGTTCAGATCTTGTCACTGCTTCATCAATGTTGTTTATCCTTCTGTACCAGTGAATGTTTGACCGGGCTGCCAGAACTTGTACGCGAAGTTTGAAGTTGCGAAAGTCGACCCAGAGCCCAGGAGTGTTTGGTGCCTAGTTGGGGCCTAGTTGTTATGCGAGAGGCATGTGTGCACGAACACAAGACTTGCGTACAAGCAACTGCTTCCTCGATAAGGCAGTTGCCACAAAACCAAAAGCTGCGGTTTCTTTAGAACAATGCCAGCGATTGAAGAGTTGGCAGCATACTTCAGATATATCCAACAACAGACAAAAGACGAGAATGGGCATGATTGGTTACATGCAGATGAACGTAGAGCATATACTATTCAAGTCTAAAGGAAGGAAATCCGGCAAACCCGATCTTATATAGATTCAGATGCCCTTGACACATTAGTGAAGCAGGTCCGAAGCTGAAACGTTGTGTTTAGACTCGGCAAGTTTGAGGTGGAAGAGCCAACCCCAAAACCTCTGCCGAGACCAGCAGAAATGGTGCCCTTCAGGCCATGCTGCCAAGCACAAGCTGACGAGATTTGTTTTGGCAAACAATCTGCTAGGCCATACTACGAGCAGCACTTCTGTGCTCTTGGTCCCAAGCATCTGGAGGCATTGAAAGTATGAAGTGCCGGATACACTCGACATCTCAACATAATCTTGACTCTGGACGTCAGATACGTTTCTTGTTCAGATCTTGTCACTGCTTCATCAATGTTGTTTATCCTTCTGTACCAGTGAATGTTTGACCGGGCTGCCAGAACTTGTACGCGAAGTTCGAAGTTGCGAAAGTCGACCCAGAGCCCAGGAGTGTTTGGTGCGTAGTTGGGGCCTAGTTGTTATGCGAGAGGCATGTGTGCACGAACACAAGACTTGCGTACAAGCAACGTTGCCACGGTTGCCGAAAAGCCAGAAAACGTCGTGACCTTGAAACCATTGATTGCAGGGCTTCAGATGTTCTGAGGGGGCCTCGTATAGAATGAAAATACTTCAAAGAATACAATATCTATATCCAGGATTATCCAGGTATATATATATAGTTATATATACAAGATTAGTATGTATACTATACATATATATATAATATTATAATGTGGATTTACATAGATATGCACGCAGCAACCTGTTATATCAAAAAAGTCTACTGTGCTGCATGTGCATCACTGCATTTGGAGGAAGAACTATTGTGCAACTTTATGTTCGATTAATCATCACAGTCTGTCTGCTTTGGATTATTATATTATTTTAGCACTTTTCATCTAGTTTCATTCATTTCCTGCGCATTTTCGTTGCTTTTCCGCTCAGTTTCATTCATTTTCAAAGCTTTTTCAATCATTCTTAACTCTCAACTCTTATTTGGGAGCATTTCCAAGCCAACAGCATCAACCAACGCGAGGTGGAGTTTGGAGGCGCTGACCTCAGGTCCTCATCTGAAAATGGCCATCACTATCCCGTGGTGAGAGAGAGCGGTTCTGAGCTATGCAATTACCCCGGCACAGACTAGAAACCTGAGAAAATGAGAGCCATGAAACAATAAACTTTGGGATTTCCATAATTTTGTGGGGAGTTTACCATGAAGTTTGGGGTTTCATCAAGAGATATGGAGAGCTAAAACAACAGATTTGGCTATGATCAATCAATCACAGATCTAGTTGGATTGGAGCAGGTCATTTTCCAGTCAAAGTGAGTGTCCTACCCCCTCTCAGATGGGTTAGAGACAGCAGACTGGTGTCCCCTGCTGAGGTGCAGATCTTGGCCCAGCAGTGACCTCCCCGGTCACTCGGATTGAAGATGAAAACTGACTGGGGCTGTCAACAGCCATAAACTCTACATTATATTTGAAGTTAACCTCACTATTGATGGTTGATCCTATTACTATGTATTATGTAATATCGTGTCATACCATGTCATACTATGCCCATTTTAGGGGTATACCACAAGGAGATGGCCATTATGAAAGTCAGCCACAACATGAGATTTTGAAATGCTCAAACTACAGAGAAGCTTTGATATTCTGCCACACTTTTCATTTTGCAACAGGAAACACACAGTTATGAGAACCTATGAGGCATCTGCAGCCGAGCTGTATGTGTCGTTCTTGACGAAGTTCCTTCAAGAGGCCACTCGTGTGCTTGGCAAAGCCTGTTGGGTGTCAGTGTGTCGAAACGAGTCTTTATATATCGAACATAGCTTATTTTGCTGATTGTGCCTCGCTGAATTTGGAGCAAGAACTGTCGTGCCACTGTATGTTCGATGAATCAACTTGAATGACGAAGAACCATCAATTGTTTGGTTGACACAGTGTTTAATTTCATCTTTTCAGCCTTTTCCATCCTGTTTCATTCACTCATTTTCTGCCAAATTTCATTTGTGTTCCGTTCAATTTTACCAATTTTCAAGCAGTCCATTCTCACCCCCTAATTTGGATCATTCCTAAGTGAAATGCATCTCTTGGTGGCGAAAAAGAGGGGTGCCAAGTGCGCGGAACTGCTCTGAGGCGGAGTTTAGAGGCGTTGATCTCAGGTCTTGTCCATCTGAAGATTTACCTCCAAATTATGGCCATCACTAGACAGTGGATTGAAGGAAGCGGTTAGGACTAGGAGCTATGGGAGCTATGGTTGTATCCCAATCAAACCCAATTACCCAAGAACACACTAGAAAATGGGTAACATGAGGGAATACACCTTGGGATTCCCATAGAGTAAAGATGATTGGTGTGTATTGAGTTGTATCCTG